CAGTGATAAGTCATTCGGTCCCATAAGACATACGAATGATACAAGCGTTTAAGAGACGGTTACACATTTGTCACTGATAGTTTTAGTCGAGGTATTTCCCAGCCCGAAATTGTCACCCCGGACGTTTATCGCATCAAACTATCACAGACAACAAATTGCGAACGTGTTGAATTTTTCGTTGGAAACTATAAGCATAACGATTCAAGGTCATTTGCTGCTCCGAAAAGTGAGCGGCACATGAGTGCCACAGCAGTTTCTGACTGTGACCATCAGACGAAGTCTGCACCGCATCGAGCAACCGTTGATCAGTATGTATCGCATCGTCCTGACTTCACACCAAGTGATTTCAACTTGTTTGGACCCTAAAAGAGATCTTCGAAGGTCAACGCTTCCAAAACGATGGCGAAGTAAAGCAGGCTCTCCTGAACTGCTTTGATGCGCTGACGGACTTTCTATGCTGAAGTCTTTCACAGAGTAGTGAAACACCGTATACTTGGAAATAAATGCAGATACCAGATGTAACTTTTTAAAACATCGCCGATTGAATAGAACGCCTCTCGTACGATGCGCATATAATTTCGTACATGGCAAGAGATGCGAAGTTTTCAGTAAGTAATTTTACTGCTGCTGTACCAACATATTCTGTGTCCTAATCAGCTCACCTACAGCAGGTCGTACGCAGCGCTATTGAGACATATTCACTGGGAACACCTAAAGGAAAGCAACGTGCTTGCGGTCAGCCAGTCGAGCAGTCAGGAGAGCGCAACTGATCAGATTCAATTTGAATGAATACTCGTCACAGCTACACACAATCAACGCAAGTGTGTAATTCTCCAACACGCAAACTTCCCCATCAAACAATGGAGTTCACGTGCCAGAGCGCATATCTTATGCGCTTGGAGCACGCAACTTTCCAAAGCAGGAGTTCCTAGCAGAATTCGTAAATGCCTTACAATCCAATGGTCTTAACGAAGAAACCAAAACAGAAATAAGACATGCCGTGGTTCCGATGCTAGCACGCAACAAGCAACACAACTCATTTTCACAACAAGAGAAAAGTGCCCTGAAATCCTTGAAGGCCGACGAAACCATCGTAATCTTGCCTGCGGACAAGGGACGTATGACTGTCATAATGGACAAAACTGATTATATTGAAAAGGCAAGTCATCTCCTAGCCGACACAACAACCTATCGACGTATGGAGAACGATCCAACAGTAGGGTTGACAAATAAAGTGAATAAGACACTTAAGAAACTTCAAGAATTAAGTCAACTCACAAAGGGAGAGTATGATAGAATGAAGGCTCGTGATCCAAATATCGCACAGTTTTACGGGCTTCCTAAAGTACACAAAGAGGGTGTGCCGCTACGACCAATAGTATCACTCCCAGGTACACCAACTTACAACTTGGCTAAAGAATTATGGAAGGGCCTCAAACATCTGACCAACGGATCGCAATACTCCATCAGTAATGCTCATCAGTTTTTGGAAAAGCTCAAATGCATAAGGATAGACCATGAAGAAGTGATGGTATCCTTTGACGTCACCGCACTTTTCACCTCCATCAACTTACAGATAGCGAAAGAAAATATCAAAGAACGTCTGAATAATGTAGGACAAACGACTGGGAAGCTAACAACTGAAAGCATATGCAAGCTACTCGACTTGTGTCTTACTACTTACTTCAAATTCAACGGAGTGTTCTACGAGCAAGTTAGAGGAGCCCCAATGGGATCCCCCATATCTGGACTCATTGCAGAAGTTGGAAGAGGATATACTTCCAGTCCTTAGTCCGAAATTATGGGTGCGATATGTTGACGATACGTTTGTGATTCTCAAACGCAACCAGCTACAGACCGCACAAGACCTACTTAACAATGCAATGGAAGGCATTTGTTTCACCATAGAAGAGGAGGTGGAAAACCAACTACCCTTTTTGGACGTGCTGGTCACCAGAACGGTAGAAGGCGAATTACAGACATCAGTTTACAGAAAAGCAACACACACCGACCAAATCCTAAACTTTAACAGCAATCATCCTAAGTGTCACAAAACAAGTTGTATACGGACCCTGTTTCGTAGGATAGAAACGCATTGCAATACTGCAGAGGCCAAACGTAAGGAAGAAGAACATCTGTTTAGGTCTTTTATTCGTAACGGCTACCCACGCAGTTTCATCCGAAGACACCTAAACCGAAGGAGCACAACTACCACACCTGCACCAACGATGACGAAACACATCGCCTTGCCGTACATCAAAAACATATCGGAAAAGACAGCCAGACTCCTCAAACCGCACAACCTGACGATAGCTCACATACCAACTGGGACTTTGAAAAGAATATTATCTAGACCTAAAGAAAGACTGGAGGCACAAGAACACCAAAATGTCATCTACAGGATAAAATGCGAGAATTGCGACAAAGACTATGTAGGTCAAACGGGGAGAAAACTATCCACAAGAATAAAAGAGCACAAGCGTGCGTGTCGATATCATTATGTATCGTCACAGATCTCAGCACACCTGGATGAGGAAGGACACAATGTTAACTGGGACAAAACAAAATTCTGGCGCACGGAGGGACAAGAAAAGGAAGGGAATTCCTCGAGACATGGTTCTCTACGGAGAATTCCCTGAACCTCCGCATTGATCTCGATCCCGTGTACTTACAGCTGAGAAAGCGTGAAGCTGGACGGCTAAGTATCGAACAAACAGAGGTCACGGGACACAGATCGACGAGGCTATTTTCAAACGCTACGTCCCAACGACATTTTCCGTGAGATTTCCCCTGCGGAGCTGTACACTGAAGATGCCACTGAGGGAAGTGGTGAAACGTTTGACATTAAATTACTCAGCTCGGAGAACGATTCAAAACGTTAATTACGAACCCGAGCTACAGGTATTCCGAATCATTGCAAACAGGCATATCAAACTGAGCGCCGGATGGGCCACATTCGTTCTCCTGGTGGCCGCACAAGACATATTCTGGCGTACTCAAGAGTAAAAGATTTTTGATGTAATTACTAGGGAGTTCGTCGCAGCAGCTGTAGTATAGAGCTACTTCCAATAGAAGTCGTGTCTTTCGGGATCAACGCTTTAATCGGCAAAGTTTTAACTTACATAGTAGTGAAGGGTAAGATAAGCTATATTGCAGTTAGCTTATGAATCATGACGGTCCACCGCTGTCGCCCATGGTTAAGAGGAAAAAGTTGTCTGCTTGCGGTGCAAGTCGGTGGCATTCATGGATGCGCACTACTGACAAAACCTAGCATCGAAACTGCAGTGCGGTGCTTTTCCTGGCAAGTCAAGATCTACTGATTTAAAAGCTGCTGCGATGAACTATGTATATATGTTTTATATATATGTTACCCCCAGTGTGGTTATACTAGATGTTCATCTTGACAAGACGACTGCTCATCGTTGTCGGCAGGTGGCTGTGCTAGGCTCAAACAGTAGTCTCATCCAGTGTGGAGCGGACTACGGCCCAGTCAACGCCTCGTGTACGTCTGGTACACATGATTCCCTACATAGATAGGAATACTGCTGCTGTGTATATTAGAGGAGCGTGGCCCGGCTCCGTTGATGAAACGTGGCTCCCATGCACATGCCTCTCGGCCTTATTCCTTCGGGTTTACACTGGATATGGAGTTGTGCGTGATGCAGCGCAAATCACCCATGGTCCCTGTGTAGGCGCATGCGTCCTGTGGATGTCCCATGGAGGCCACAGTGACAAGCAACTAGGGAATCGGATGCTGTCAATCATATATACGCAACGGTTCCATGATGAAAGCGTACAAGAAAATTACATACAGCAAAAACCGTACACGAAAAATGCGTACACGGAAAAGTGCATGCACGAAAAATGGTGCGCGCACGGTATTTGGCGAAAACGGAAATACTTCAGTTCGATCGCTTTGCACGTAAACGACTGCCTTACGTGCCAAATGCCTCATGATTCAGAATAATTAACAGACAGGGTACTTCTCGCCTACGGTAGTTTGCCAATGCCTCAGCGACTCGGTGGCTCCAACGCACTTACTGTGACCAGATCGAGTTCGTGAGCATTTTGTGGCGGCAGGCCCGAAGACCAGTCCAGAGGAACGGAACCATGGACACACTTTTATTGTGCATATATAAGTGTCCACTGTGAATCGTGCTGATTAGGGAAGCGGGAATAGTGACGCTTATCGCAGATGTGCGTTTTTCTGTTCACTAAAATGGCGTGAACTGACAGTCCACACTTATACTCGGTCGTCTAAGTATGCAACGAAAGTAGTAACTTCAATTACCATTGTACTCTAACAAACCGAGTACATCTGCAGATTGTTGCGAATATTCCGTCCAAGCGTTCTTCTGGGTGGGAAATTTACTATGTGGACATTATTCCATGTGCAGTACCACTGAGAAAATGGCTAACGATCATTTGAGGCGGTCACTAATCTCATCAAGCCAAGGCTAGGCTAGCCACGAACTCGGTCTGGTCACATTGAGTGCGTTGGAGCCACCGGATCGAGGAGGCTTTGGCAAGCTGCAGTAGGCGAGCAGTACCCTGTCTGTTGAGTAATCAAAATGAATCATGGAAGATTTGGCATATAGAGCAGTCGTTTATATGTAAAGCCATCGAACTGGTGTATTTCCGTGTACGGTTTTTGCTGTACCCAATTTTCGTGTACGCTTTTTCCCATCACCATATGCCACATGCTTTGTGCGGATCGCATGTTTGTTATAAAGGCATCAACCTTGCAGGTGACACTATAGGGGTTTGAGTTCATGGTCATTTGAAACGTGCCACGGAATCAAGCATCATTCATGAAGAAATTTGAATAGTTGGAGGGGATGTGTAGCTCGAAATTGAGCCTCAATGTCAGCATTGTTCCGATTTCGTGTTTTCTGGAAAGCAAAGATGAACTGTTTGACTATGATAAGGAGCTGTATGGATGGGATACCTGGTTGAAAAGAAATGCTCGAACCATGTGATAAAGTTAGCTGCTGACTTACCGTAGAAAGCACAGGATCATGGTGAGTGAAAGGGGGGATAGCGACGGTGCTCCAGACGACGGGTTGGTTCATCATTTTTGCCACAACTACACACTCTGGACACATAATTATCGTCATCACGGTGATCGAAAGTGATGAAATGATCGATTACGTTCCCAAAAAACCAGCTGAAAACGCCTCATGCCCCGTTGCAAAGTGTGGCCTGGAAGACATACTTTTCGAGCTAACCTGAAAGGAATGCAAACGGTTAAAATTCCGGGTAACTGCTGGCGCTGAACTTCACTGTGCAGTTATACGATGGCATAGTGCAGTTAACAAATCAACATCCATAATAACGGTACAGCAATGTGTTTTGCTGGTACCTAAAACTGTAAACAATTGCTGACAATTCTAGGGATAAAGTATGAGAGCATAAGCGTGTACCTAGCGAAAACATAGATGACGCCTGAGGATAGTGACATTAGCAATGTAACGTTCTAGTATCATAACCAACCTTCATCCACACATAACTTAGTGGCATAAGGTATTGAATTGGCAATCCGGCAACGATCACTGCGCTCGTGGCGGTTTAAAACCAGGCCCAAACTAGGAATTGTGTGTGCGGAAAGTACTAACAGAGCCGAGTGTGGTGCAACGTATCCCCAAGCTATTTACTCCAGCGAGTAATCCGCGGATGTGTGGAACTCGAGGACTTCGGCAAGAAAAGTCATATCAGTAGCAGATTAGTTGATGGCAATACAATGCAGGATACCAACGTGGGTGAAAAGTGATAACATCTTTTTAACACCAGTGAGTCCGGAGACAAATCGTCAACTGAAATGTGCACCAAAAATGGCATGTCAAAGATCATGAAAACAAATGAACAGCGGATGGGCCAATAAAGTTGAGAGAATCGATTTCTAGCGAATCGCATAGATACTTTTAAGAGATTATCGCCAAGCCATAGACGTGACTCGTTTCGATGGGCGACAGTGCACTTTATTTCCACGCGAGACTGGCAAATATCTCGTGTGGGGCCCGCACTTGTTGTTCAGGGGAACTGGTTCCGTGATGGACTAGAAATTATCAGTCTAGCAGCGTCACGAAAGCCATACAAACGGCCCTCACCAACAGTGTTTGGAAGTCTCCTGGGCGGTGGCATCGGGCATGTAAGTGCCCTGTACCGTTCCGCATCGTCCTTAGTCAAACTCTGCACACAATACAAAAGAACAAATCTCCAGTATTCGCCAACCTATGTTCAATCATTCGAGTGTGGCAAAACTGAGTTGAGGAGGAAAAGCCCATACTACGGAATACGATTAGACAGCATGGGCAGCGTGCACGATGCTGCAACTGACTCTTGCTATAGCCTAGAGAAAAGCAGTATTCTGAGCTAGATCAGGAGCTTAGGCCAGGAATGGATAAGGACGAATTGAGAGGAAGATGATGCATCGTTCATGAAAATCCACTTCTTTTGAAAGCTCTTACCACAGGTTCATGATTCGATGTAGGCGCAATAATCGTGCAATTTTCCTACAGAAGTCAAAGTATCATCAGTACACAATGGCCAAACGTATGCAGCAACCTTGTAATGCGCACGGCCGAGCTGTGTGTGGGAACAAAAGATGAACGTCTGCGGCGCAACTGAGTACTTGGTCACAGAGGCAGCAAACGTTAAACACCATTCGGGAACTTATTGAGTTTATACCAGGAAAGAGTGGTTTGGTGTTCAAAACCCGTTAGATTCAAAACTGAGGTTCCATGCTGTCCGGCCCCAATTCGATGAAAGGAGCGTTAGAGCAATCCGACCTCCATACTGCATCGTGCGGTGACATAGATTCGTTTCTATAAATTAAACTTACTTCCAATTACAGTTACCAGACTCCGGTTGATTTCATCGATACTACGCACGTTGGTCCATGTGACAGCTTTATATTAGAGGTTTGAAATGGTCCTTTTCATCCCCTTTAGAATGACTTATCAAAAGTTCTTTCCTGTTAGTCTACCCACTCAAAGTTTAGAGTTTTGTTTTATCGCCTGCTATATCCAACTGATGAGATCAATAAGATGGAAATGTTTCGTGGTGTGTGGCGTTCTCGGCTGGACAACATCCAATTTCCATCTGCTTCACCAGCTACGCTCCTTGTGATCGAATTGACCAAGGTTAACTTCAATACGAATCGCAGTCCACATTGAGATCGCCCGTCGGAATCCAGTCACACAACGAATAACTCAATACGGCCCCACAATCCATCTTACCTTACTCATCTTGTTTACTTGTGGCTGGCTCGTCGAACAACTTCCCCGTGGTGCAAGCAGACTGGTGCGGGTAAATCCCGTTTCAGCGATTGGTTCGGCGACAGTGTCCCAGGACGTAACTGATTAACGGTTGGCAAGCGTTCTCCCTATAAAAAGCCACGTAATTCTGTTTAACAATACCGCGGCGTCACGGATGTGACTCGCCACTAAATGAAGACACTGCTCTTCGATTATCCGGATCCCCCCTTCCTCACATCAAAAATGTCAGTCCTCCAAACCGAAAAGTTCCTTTAAACTCTATTCATGCACACGATCTGATTGAACAAAACACCAAACGCTGTGCCAAATCAGCAAATTCAGTCAATAAAGATACGTAAATTCATACCTGGTTGGCAGCATTCGGTTCCGGATTTACCTGTCCTGTGGCCTCCACGGAGAGAGCCATAGCAAACCTGCGCATAAACAGGGAACATAGGTAGCATGAGCTGCACCACGCACAACTCCAACCAGTCATATCATATCCAGTGTAAACCCGAAAGAACAAGACCGGAAGACATGTGAATGGAAGCCGCGTTTCATCAACGGAGCCGGCCCACACCCTTCAAAGGCAAACACAAGCACGATGTAGTTGGGAATCAATCGCACACAAGGCGGCGGCTGGACGGTCGCATTGTTGTCATTAAACCAAGCAGGCCGCTTAAAGTTTGCGCGCCCTATCTTCTCCTCGGCAGCAGCTGTCACTTGGTCGCGAATGTGAGGCCACAGATCGCCCACTGTGGTTATATATTCCACATCACAAAGGCCTGCAGCCATCGCCTTCTGCAGATCAATACGTTTCGAGACAGTATCGAGGGAGAGAATGTTAACTTTACGCCGGTTCACGGCAGGATTGCCATACACAGATCTACGAAAATATATGTAAAGTTTGGCCCGCACCAATTGGTGATCAGTGTCACGCTCAGCTCCACGAGTCATGCACAATGCGTCGGCCGGTGGCCGAGTGGTTGGCACGTTTGCTTTCCAACCATAAGGTCACCGGTTCGAATCCGCGTAGGGGTGGGCGTCCTCGCGGTATACTCAGCCCGCGCGCGACTGGTGGTGGTCGCGCGGCAGCGAAGCGCCGTTACGGCGTATAAGCTGACACATTTCATTCATTCACTTTATGCACAATGCACGCATATCACGCTGACATACGAAGACATAGTCGAACAGATGAGCGTGACCACTCCGTGGGTGTGCCCAAATTGCTCCATCACTCGCGTTCAGTGCAAACCGATGTTTGTGATCGTCAGGCCGTGAGTAGCACACAGTGAGAGCAGCCTGTCACCGTTCCCATTCGCTGAATCAATGCCATGCGGCCCGACAACATCTGTCCACTATGATGCATCACGCCCAACGCGCGCGTTGAAATCACCCGGCATAAATAGTCGGTTGCTCCTCGGCACACACCGTCTCACGGAGGATAGATGGGTGTAGAATTGATCACGTGTGTCATCAGGGTAACACATTGTCGGACCGTACGTGCTTATAAAAGTGGCATACTTACCTCTTCCGAGTCATAGGCGAACAGTCATCAGTCGCGCGCTGATGCCTGTTGGTTCACCAACGAGCTGGTTATGGAAGCGATCGGATATTGCAAATCCGAGCTCATGTTCACGTGGTTCTGAGGTGGCGTTGCCCACCCAGTAGAACGTGTAGCCAGTACCTGCTTTATTCAACTTACCTTGCTCAGCGAGCCGGGTTTCACTGAGCGCCGCAATATTTATGCTGCAGCGCACCAGTTCCATCTCGACCAGGGCAGTACGTCGCTCGGGGCGATCACTCGAATTCCCGTCCAGTAGTGTGCGCACGTTCCAGCACCCGATGCTGAGTGCTTTGCGTTAAGGCATACGATTACATTGGTGAGCAATCGCACGCGAGGTGGCGGTTGTGCTTCGGAGGTTTGCTTGAGGGACTCCATCCGGAGCCTTTGGCTCAATAGCCTGACACGTAAGGTACTGGGGGATTTGGAGGTTTGTTTGAGGGACTCCGCCCGGAGCCTTTGGCTCATTAGCCTGACCCACAAGGCAGTGGACAGCACATCCAGCTCGGGAATGTGATTGCAGAGAGAGATTGCATTCTGCTTGACGGCCGTCACACGCAGTTTTTGAGGTACTGCAACGATTCAGATATGTATTGCGATCGTAGTAGGATACACCTGCGACCGCGGCCAAACGCATGTGGGTTTTGGCGGGTTTGCACCAATTTGACCAGAGGCTGCCTGGCTGGAGGCGTGAGGTAGCAAACCATTGAGCACTCGGTGCCCTCCCATAGTCAGAGACAATGCGCGGCGCGCGTGCGTAGGATACATCCATATATGGTTGGCGGCATTCAGTTTCGGATTTGAAATAAATGAGAATATCCGTAGCTCGGGGTGTGGATGCGGGTTTTGAGCTGTTCTCCGAGCTGAGTGATTATTGTGCAGACGTTTCGTTGCCTGACTAGGCAACATCATCAGTGCGGCTTCAGGGGCCTGGTTCGCAGTGCCTCGTAAGCGACTTCAATGTCCAAGTGCTTATTGATCGAGTTCTGTTTTGAATGCCAGGCTTCAATGAACTCACGTGCTTGCCGGCTTTTAGCTCTTCCAAAGATACTGGCATGCTCTAGGTCGAATTGATGGTTCTCGGCATCCATATGCACTGACATCAGGGAGTTCTGATCGTGGCGACGAATGGCTAGGCTGTGTTCGTGTAGCCTTGTGCCAAGCTTTCTTCCAGTCTGTCCCACGTAGTATTTGTCGCAGTTCCGACAGCAGATCTTATAAATCACACCAGTTTCTTCCTCTTTGCCAAGTTTATCTTTCACTTTGAAGAGTTTACTGCGAATTGTTTCCGGTGGCTGGTGTGCAACTTTGACTGCAAAAGGCAATAAAAGCATCGCTGCCATTTCAGAGATTCCGCTGATATAGGACAGTGTTGTTCTCTTTTCAGCTGTTGCATTTGTCGAGGTTGCCTGGTCAGGCAACGAAACGTCTGCACAATAATCACTCAGCTCGGAGAACAGCTCAAAACCAGTTTCGGATTTGCCTGTCACTGCGGCCAGCTACAGGACGCCTGTGCCTACAGAAGGACTGTGAGTGGCTTGCGCTGCACTACCCACAGCTCCAACCACACACCCCATATCCAGTGTAAACCCGAAGGAATAAGACCGGGAGGCATGCGGATGGGAACCACGTTTCATCAACAGAGCCGGCCCACACTCCTTCACAGACAAACACAAGCACGCTATATTTGGGGAATCAAGCGCACACAAGGCGGTGGCTGGACCGTAGTCCGCTCCACATTGAGTGCATGGAACCACTCTTCGAGCCTAGCACGACCACAAGCACTGTGCACCCCGTCCCCTCCAGCAACGACCAACTATCTACTAGAGACAGTATGGACGAGGTAATGGGTAATAGACAGGTAGACACCTTGTCAACATGCACATCAAGCGCAGCCGCACTGGGGATGTCAAACAACAGCCAATCACTTGAAATGACAGTAACAAATAAAATATATCTGTTAAAGAATACGGCTATGCAGACATAACTGTTCCTAAATTAGCATATGAAGTATGTTGGTTAGCAACGAATCCGCGATAATTAAAAAATGTCCAGAAGTGACTCAAAAAATGCTACAAACGCAATAAAGTTAACGAAGATAAGCACAATTACCGTAAGCAACGTGGAAATTTAATAGAAGATTATTCCGGTAGGCAGAACAAATCAAATGAAGTGGAATGAAATTTATCCAGCTTAAAGAGAGACCTAGTTTAAGTGTAAGTTGGTTTACCCCAACTGCGGTGAAGAAGCATCATGAATACAACATCAGCCTCAGCATGGGGCACAAATAAATAAATAAATATATATATATATATATATATATATATATATATATATATATATATATATATATCCTAAGCAGTCAACCAATAAGCATAAAAGGGCATCTGTAGTGCGCTGGTACACCGTTACGACGCTTCGCTGCCACGCAATCACCACTACTCGCACGAGGGTCCCTTACGCAAGTTCGAACGCGCGACCTCCAGGTTGCAAGGCAAACATCTTGTCCTTACGCAAAGCATATAAGTAAAAAGAAGGTGCAATTGTCATAACAATGAAGCCGAATAAAACACAGTAGTCCATGGTTTCTTTGGAGGATGCGATAAAGACCAGTTGCCCAAGCTAAGGTAGGAAATTGACATGGAGAACCCAACCACAAACATTTGGCTGAATAGCCCGCCCGCAAAGCAGCAGAGCGCAGTCAGAAGAATCGTTTCCATTGGGACCCGGTGAGTGGTCGCTCAGTTCATAGGCCTTTCGTTTGGTTGAATACCAAAAAGTGGGCAATCCTACTCAGTTTCAAACTGCACACCGGCCTTAAGAGACCGATGGTTAACAGTAACATCACATTTTTGGCGGCGATGCTAGGTTGAAAAAGGAGTCAAACAGAGATCCAGGTACTGCCTAGTCATCGCCATGGGGATGTATCTGACACATGCACTCAGTTTCGCACTGAATTCACAGGTATGTATGGGTCAAATATAGGCAGAAAAGTGCATGTCGTGTGATATAGATTGAATCTACTGTGTTTGGATGTTAGCACAAATCTAGTAAAATTCCATGCGGATTTACAGAAGTAGGTGAGTGAATCCGCAAGTAGAAAGTGACGAATACTAACTTTGTTCCCCCGGATGTATAACCGAAATGTGTTGAAATTGTGTGCAGTTGCAAGTGGTCCCTCTGTACACAAGGACGCCACTCTGTGGAGGTGCTCGTAGTCACAGACAGGAAATTCCACAAATCTGTTCTCTCTCGGCTTCGCGGTCAGCAAATGTGATCAGAAATATAGGCTCCCATGACTGGTGACCCCCATACCCTAGTCACCTCAGCGTACGTCCTGCCAATCTAGATGAGGCCATCTATATTTTCCAGGCATACTCGCATTCGATAGCTAGTTCAATGTTTCCACACAAGAGGGATTACATCAACGTTATCATTCGTGCAACAAAATATGGCCCAGTCATGTGATCACTGAAAATCCGTCACCTCTCTGTAGTAACTCAGTGACTAAATGCGGTTTGCTCTCTCGCGAAACAATGGTCTTATGAGAGGAGCCGCACGGCCAGCAAATTAATCTGGCATCCAAAACAACTGTCACAATAAATGTGGAATACGAGACATTATCGTCTCATCACGGTTGCTTTTTTCGCCTTTCCTAATCAAGAAATAAATATTCACAAAATAATCCATCTGAAACAAGATGATCAGGTTCAAATCGCTTACAGAGTGATGTGTCTGGCAGGGAACAACTGGAGTAAAGTCAGGGCTACATTTATGTTCTCAGATATGCGCATTTTCAGCACTTAACGTCATGGGATGATGATGTACTGAAGTAGCATCACCAAAAACGCAAAAGTTGTGTGGATAGAAGAACCAAAAGGGAATAACATACACGGATGTCACTCGAGTAAACAGTCCCGCATCAGTAAGCAATGGCTATACCTTATTAGAAAGAGTCCTCAGCATTTGTGTCCCGTTGATTCCTCATTTAATCAAAACGGCTTTTGATGACACGTTTGAATGTTTCTGGATTGTTAACCGAAACCAAAAACTCGGGAACGGTGCGTACTATGTCGTTATTACAAAATCGACGGGATAGGACAGCAGGAGTGACCTTGGAAATAGTTCAACCAAAGGCACTAGCAAAAATATTCCGCAGAAAATTGGCAAATCCGTAGCAGATATAGTAAAATGGATATTTTCTCAGAAAATACTAACGACCGCTTTAGAGGTCCTAAATTGCAGTAAATGATGCCAGAAAGTTGAAAGATATAGATGCGTTTGGCGGTCAGTAAGGGGGAAGCAGAGTGTGAGGATAAGCAGTGAATTCTATCCACATTGCAAACTATTAAACATGAGGCAACAGGTGAGTACCAAAGAATGTAACTTCGATCGGAGAAAAGGCTCGTTCTTTACCTCCTATCTAGTGGACTAACATGAGGAACAGTAAACCGCAAGCGTACAATACGTGTGAGTTTGGAGCGTATTCAAATGAGACTATCAATGCCAAGATCATCACAAGACGGCTTCTGATCCATTTGGAAGACTTGAAAGATAGTTGATAACTGCACAGCAAGAACAACAAACTACCAGCGGGTCTGAAAAGCAGCAGGCGGAGAGAGCGCGCGGCAATGAATATGCTCATCGAATCAGCTAAAATATGGGATGGTAAACTGATCAAAATGTACCAGACATACCAATAACTTGGTGAACTGGGAAACTCAAAAAGGTATAGTGTACAGTGATTGAAATAAAAATGGTTTCAACTAGGAGTGGGAGTCTTACCATTGGTGAATAAACCTGTTATCAAAATGGTATTGTTGCAGAATTCTCAGCTCTAAAGTGACTCAGGAGCATCGAGAATGGTCACCACAATAAACGCGTACTCACCGGCGCAAGAGACGAGGCAGAGGTAGCCGGACGAAAATCCAGCTGGATTCCGTGCAAGCGATGGTGTGGACAATCAGAGTGATGCCACAAATGGTGGTGGTGTGTGCAAGACAAAGGCTGTAGTAATGGGGAACACCGTCGAGAAAAGGAAAGAGCGGCGTCCGTGGACAAAACGCGTTCCGACAAATTCCCCTCACTGATCAATCCTGATCCTGTATAGTTCACAGAGGCACCGGAGGAAATAGGAGTGTCACGGCCCCCCTCCAATGGTGGGGAATGACACACCGGAGGAGAACAACAGACTGGGGTCGCAGGGACCCCACTGCTACTGCTACGGCTGCTGATGCCAGTGGGTCTGACAGATCCTCCACAACCGATTGGCTGGCATTTGGCAAGACAGTGTTCCTTTGCAAAGAAAGCCGATGTTGGATGACCACTGGGAGCATTGGGTGACGATCCGGGTCGGATGGTGTTTTCCGCGGTAGTGGGATAATTCTCCGGTGTGCTGAAGGACCGCTGCCGTTCGCGTCGCTGAGGCATGGTCTCTGTTGCGGCGGAACGGATGTCTGGATACACTGCTGAGTTTCCGGAGGAAGCTTAAATAGAAAGAAATAGATTGAATGCAATATGAAGGTAAAATAATAGAGGGAAATGACAGTAATTAAACACCGGAATGAAACGAAAAGAGCAGGATGTTGCCACGGTTTTATATGCTCAACCTGTTGAACTGCATATTAAAAGCATGTGTAGGGAATTTACCGTGTGTCAAAACGCAGTGTGACCACTTCCCCATACTACGTCCAATATTTCACCTGCGAGAACCCTGTAACACCCGAGGACATCGTTACAAACTCAGGGTCCCCAGCATGAACAAAGTATCACATCAGCTTTGTATCGAACGAAGAATCGTAAACTTATGGAATACACTACCTGAAGGATTAATAGAGGCCGATTCTGTGAAGTGTTTTAAAACCCGTATCGACGATTATTTTGCAAACCTGTGCTTTTGTGAAACGATGCACATACTGTGCCAAAAGAATACATTGTATGTCCGGAAATAATGACGCTAGTACAAATTTCTAACCGAACACGGATAAACGATTAACAGACCAGACACAACTGCTGATAATTCACAAGTAAATTTTGATTTTTCGTAATTCGATAGAGTTGTACAGAAACCTTTCTACTTGCTCTTAAATACAGTATCAGTATCAGTATCAAGGGGGATGACCGTTGTCTCAATGTGTGCACGCGCAAAGCGATGAATCAAGTCCAGTATCAATTTCCGTTCATCTGTGGTAATGAGTCATGCCGAATGTAAAAAATGGAGTGCACTCGAACAACAAAACTGGGGCCTATGACTTCATTCGGGATTACTTAGCTGCATTTTTCACGCTAGGCAACAAATACATTTCATCACTTGCAACGGTAGTTCCAAATTGCAGCGGATGTGTACTTCGTAACTGACTGGTTGGCCCTCGAAACGATTGGAGTAGCTAAACAAAAACAATCATGCTTTCAATTAAAAATACAAATGTTCTGAACGTAGGCGGGAAAAAGTCGGGTAACTCATAGACCAATGTGGCTCTGCAGCAACTAGCACATAAGCCAAACGTGCGCAGACCGTCTAACTCATGGCCACAGGCTTAGATAAACATCCGCTCTTGCCATAACTGCCCTTTCTACATAGTCTAAATACGAAAGTAGAGGCAGCGGACAAAGGCCTTGGAGAAACGCACAAGTTTTGGAGGTATTTCGTCGCAGTCCCCTCTCAGTCAGCAGGCTTCGACATGTATGGAAAAGCATCAGACAGCTATTTCGAAGTGTCGAAGCCTGCTGACTGAGAAGGAACTGCGACGAAATAACTCCGAAATCATACCGAAATCCTCACTACACATTAGTGAAAGAACACGTGCCGATGGTATGGGGAGCAGGTTGGATTAGAGAATAGAAGATGATATTTAGCGAGTCAAATCTGTGAAAGAAGCTTTCGTGTCAAGAGCGAAACGTTGTCACAGTACAAGCCTATAGAAAACTGATTTGTATTCTAATACTCTGGAAATTATGATAGGGTAGGGGTGAAAATTTTTCCCTTCATCAATTCGGGTGTGATCGAGACATAAACACCGTGAAGCAACAACGATACTATCCGCAGAGTGCGATGCTGAAAACAAACAACAACAAGATACCCAAATCCCATGAAGTCGTATTGTCTAGAACGTCATCTCTAGCTGTAAGCCATAGAGCAAGTAAAACGGTGAGAGTGGAGCAAGAGTAATTAGTGGATTCGTTTATTTTGATAATCGACTTTTCAATGGCCGACAAGTTACGAGGAGAGAGTTACCAGCAGTAAACCAACGCTCCGTGCTGACGCTTCACTGACAAGCAATCGAAAGCCCTTGCACGCTGGAGATGTAGGACTGCCGTTGGAGCCACCTTCTAACTACTGGAAGTTACTTTGATGGTCTCACTAGAGCCGCTAATCAAATGGGCTGATAGTTGCAATGTCGCAGTAGGTATGGTGAAATGCTAATCAAAATTTTCCGTCCAACTGGCTAATCGACACGACGGAGAATGAATCATCTTTCTCAGCTACTGTCTCACTGTCTGAGAGGTTCCTCGAATCTGTGTTGCGGATGAGTTCAAACAAGACTCAATTGTTTCTGACAGCCCTGGTTCTCCATATCATACCAGCGTTTTCAGTCAATTCTAAGATTATTCATTAAATAAATAAGTGTTTTATTCTCCACAGTGCGAGACACGCCTGCAAAGACATGGTCAATTTAATGGAAACAAAAATAGTCGGTAATTGCACAAAACGTTTTAAGCTCATCAGTGTTGTAACGCTGCCCTTTTGCCTCTCTGCGCTACCAACCAGCCGGGGAAAACAAAACGCAGAGCCTGCTAGACCGAAGTATCTTAGGCACAGAACATGGCTACTTTTATAGGTCGCATGCGCTTACCTCGCCTCTATCACTGAGGTGAGTCACACCGCTTGTCTGAACATATTCGACTCTGGTAGCGACCATCTCTCTCTGACTGTAGGTAGGGTCACGTCCGCAACATAGCAACCCGTGCGACGACGACGGTCTGATTTCGTCAGCTTCCGATTTGACCATGACAACGAGTCTGTCAGCCGCTCACGTGATCTGGCCGATCTCGCCCCGCTAGTGTGCACCATCGTAGTCAGCTGTTTCGCCTCCGTAACAATCAGTAACATACTGGATCTATGTGTGCATGTATATATGTAAGCGGGAGAGCCTATGGTGCGCTGAGGCTGGTTGTGGCTAGATCATGACAGATGGTCTACCGATTGCTGCCACTGTTGTGCCATGGGCTCATGTCCTGTACGTCTCCTCGTGCCGACCGCTGGGTAAGAGTTGACTTATGCCCTTCTCCCTGCTAAGATTCAGGACACCAGTCTGCATGAGTCAGGGAACTGACCATGTGCTAGACCCGCTGCCTTTCGGGTGTAGATTTAATCGAAGGCTTTGGCTGAGGACCCGAGTCGTTCTCCTGTCAGGTGTGGGTGCCTTGCCAGTATCTCAGTCCATCCTCTTCGGAGGTTAGGAAGTGGTCGATGGTCCCCTTCCCGTAAAAACTAGCCATGGGAGACAACAGGTCTGCAGGTTATAAGCTCACAGCTCCATTGGCGTAGAGCACGAGCGCCACGCATTGTCTCTGACGGTGGGGACACCTCCGGGTGTTCAATGGTTTGCTACTGTCCGCCTCAAGTCAGGCAGCCCATGGTCAAATTAGTGCAAACCCACCAAGACCCACATGCGTTTGGCCGCAGTCGCAGGTGTATCCAACTACGGTCGCAATACCTATCTGAATCGTTGCAGTACCTCAAAAGCTGCGTGTGACGGCCGTCAAGCAGAATCCAATCTGTCTCTGCAATCATATTCCCGAACTGGATGTGCCCTCTACTGCCTTGTGGGTCAGGCTAATGAGCCAAAGGCTCCGGGTAGAGTCCTTCGAGAAAACCTCCAAACCACCTATTGCGTTGCGGGTCAGGCTCTTGAGCTAAAGACTCTGGGTGGTATCCCTCTAACAAACCTCCGAAGCACAACCGCCACCTCGCGTGTGATTGCCCACCAATGCAATGGTGTGCCCGCGCGCAGAGCACAGCATCCGGTGCTGAAACTTGGGCACACTACTGGCCAGGAGCGACGTACTGCGCTGGTCGCGATGGAATTGGCGCCGTACAACATCGATATTGCGGCACTCGCTTAGACCAGGTTCGCTAATGAGACACGCGTGATCAATTCTACAGTTATCCTCCGCGATACGGTCTGTGCCTAGAAGCGACTGACTATTTCTGCTGGGTGATTTCAACGCGCGCGTTGGACGTGATACATCAGTGTGGACAGATGTTATCGGTTCGCATGGCATTAGTTCAGCGAATGTGAACGGTGACAGGGTACTCTCACTATGTACCACTCAAGACCCGATGATCACGAACACTCGGTTTGCACTGAGTGCGAGTGATATAGGCAACTTGGACACACCCACGGAGTGGTCACGCTCACCTGTTCGACTATGTCATCGTACGTCAGCGTGAAATGCATATAATGTGCATGACACCTGTACTGCGTGGAGCTGAGTGTGACACTGATCACAAATTGGTGCGGACCAAACTGTGTATATATTTTCGTGAATCTATGTATTGCACATCTGCCGTGAACCGGCGTAAATTTAACATTCTCTCCCTCGGTACTGTGGCGAAACGTATTGCGCAGGAGAAGGCGATGACTGCACGCCTGTGTGATGTGGAATGTATAGCCACAGTGGGCGACTTGTGGAACCATTTTCACCACTAGGTAACAGCTGCTGCCGAGGAGACGATAGGGCGCGCAAAGCGTAAACGACCAGACTGCTTGATGGGAACAATGCAATGATTGGCATATTGGTGTGTGAGAATAATGCAGCATTCACTGCACATGTGGCAGACCCCAGTGACTTGGGGAAGAAAAGAAAGTTTATCCGAATTCGACGGCGACTAACCCGAGAGCTCCGTCGCATTAAAAATGCATGGTAGAGGGAGAAGGCGAAGCAGATGGGATGCTACACCGAACGCCGCCAACACAAGGAATTCTTTGACTCCTTGAAGACGGTGTATAGACCGAGATTGAAGCCGCTGAGGACGATGATCGATAGTAGTTCAGGCGCTGCCTGCACAAAAACTGCAGATCTGGCAAAAACACTTTGACTGTTTCTTGACCAACCGTTCAGAGATCTACTAGCCTACTTTGAACAGCCTGAAGCAGCGCGATGTGAAGGCGAGTCTGGCGGACACGCCGACACTGGATGAGACGCAGAGAGCACTTAATCGGCTGGGAAATGGCAAGTGTGCCGGGGCCGACGGGATCCCGCCTGAAGTATTGAAACACGGTGGACCCGCGTTGTTGACTACGCTGCACCACTTGGTGCAACGCGTATGGATTGAGGAGGAAGTGCCTCCTGAACTGAAGGATGCTCTTGTGCTACCACTCTGTCCAAGAGCATACGAAGCAAGCAATGTTGCAGGAATTATCATGGCATCAACTTGCTCAGTTGTGTGGGCAAGGTGATTGCCCGAATCCTGCTCAACCGCCTCGTCAGTTAGGTTGTGGAACCTAGCGTGGCGTAAGAACAGTGTGGATTCTGTTCGGGACGCAACACTATCGATATGGTGTTTGCAGCTCGTCAGTTGCATGAGAAGTGTAGAGAATGACACCAGCAATTATACTCGCTTTTTGTTGATTTCACCAAGGCATTTGATAAGGTGAACCGCGAGGCATTGTGGCTGGTGTTGGGTAAGTTTGATTGTCCGAGTAAATTTTGAAATTTTATTGAATGTGTGCAGAGTGGTATGAGAGCGAGGGTGCAGCTGAGTGGACAGACCTCGAATGAGTTTGCAGTTGTCTCTGTTGTGAAGTAAAACTGTGTCTTAGCTCCTTCCCTGGGTACTCTTTATCTTCATGCAATTGTGTCTTGTGCCTTTGATGCCGCTTGTGCATACGGTGTTCTTGTGGAGTACCCTATTGATGGTGGGTTGCTGAACATCCGTCGTTTCGGTGCTAGAACACTAGGCTGTGAGACAACTATCCGTATGTTGCTGTACGAGGACGACTGTGCGTGGTTTGCACACAGCGCGGATGAGTTGCAGCACATGACTAGTGCTCTGGTTTCGACAGCGGCCAAATTCGGGCTTACCAGCAAAACTGTCTGTCTCTTTCTGCCTTTACCAGAGGTGCAGTCTACAATGGTGCCGCGAATCAGCATTGGTGCTGAAGTATTGGAAACCACCTCCCGCTTCTGCCACCTTTGGAGCGTGGTTTCGACTGACCAGCAGCTACACAGTGAGCCTCGTATCCGAGTATCGATGGCAGCGGCGGCATTGGGAAAGGTAGAGCACCGGGTGTGGAACAACCACCAGCTTACCGTGGGCACGAAGCTGATGGCGTACAAATCCATGGCACTGTCCGTTCTTCTGTACGGCAGCGAAACATAGAATATGTACCGGCGAGATATACGATATATCGAGCGGATCTATCAATAGTGTTTGCGACAGAGTTGCGAACACGGAAGTGTTGCGCTGAAGTGAAATATAATGCAGTGGACTACATACTTTTGCTGAGACATCTGAGGTGGCTCGGTCATGTGTGGCGTATGCAGTCGACGCGGATACCGAAACAGCTATTAGATGGTCGGCTGAGTGTTGGTAAGCGGCATATGGGGAAAATGAAGGTTTGTTACCAGGATATGATCAAAGTGAGCCGCTCACGTTTTATCTTGATTGCAAGTCATAGAAATCGAAGGCGATTGATTTGCAGGCATGGCGCGATCTGATCCCGAAGACAGTTGCTGAAGTGCAAGAGAAAGCCCTCAAATATGGGGAGAAGAAGCGGCAGGCACCGATGGGTTGTACTCCATCGATATTGAACGCATGATACTGTAGCATATGCGTTCGCGAGTGCCTGAATCAGGCACTCCTAGTGAGCCATGTGCGAGGGCTTTAAGAGCCACCACCGAAACGACGACAAGTCCTGCTGAGAACGTAGGCAGAACCGTTGGTAGGTACATTGCATTCGATTTACTAACTGTCTGCTCGCATGCTCGGTCCCTTTATTTCAGGTAGTGGGCTTGCTATATTGCGTCATTAATGTCTACGTGAACTCTTCTGTTAAGCAGCACACATCGCTCAAGTTAATTGTAACTTTGATAACATTTTCGCGTTGGTGACATATTCTCAAAGTTTATTTTCTGACGGCTTGAACATATAGCGGATATTTTGGCAATTAATTTATTCATATGCTTATTTATTGAAGAGCTATGTCGGCAAATTTGCATACATGATTCCATGTATTTTAATTGTTACAGTCGTTTCAAGTGATTGGCTGTTGGTTGATGTCCCCGGTGTGGCTGTGCTTGATGTGCATGTTGACAAGGTGTCTACCTGTCTATTACCCACTACCTCGTTCATACTGGCTCCAGGAAACAGTTGGTCGTTGCTGGAGGGGACGGGGTGCACGGTCCTTGTGGCCGTGTTAGGCTCGAAGAGTGGTTCCATGCCCTCAGTGTGGAGGGGACTACGGTTCAGCCATCGCCTTGTGTGCGCTTGATTCCCCAAATACAGCGTGCTTGTGTTTGCCTGTGAAGGAGTGTGGGCCGGCTCCGTTGATGAAACGTGGTTCCCATCCGCATGCCTCCCGGTCTTATTCCTTCGGGTTTACACTGGATATGGGGTGTGTGGTTGGAGCTGTGGGTGGTGCAGCGCAAGCCACTCATGGTCCTTCTGCAGGCGCAGACGTCCTATGGCTGGCCACAGTGACAGGCAAATCCGAAAGCGGATGCCGCTAAACAGGTGTACCTGTAAGTGGACATGGCGAGTTAATTTGTTAATGTGACTGAATTCGTGATGTTGTTCGCTGTGTTTGCTATCGTATAAAGTGATCAAAGGAACTGTTCGAATTGGATGACGTATTTTAAGTGGGAACAATCCTCCGGAAAGGGATTTTATTAACTGACAAGTCACATCCGCAACGTCGCAATGTTGTTATGCGGACCTTTGTGGCTTTTATAAGCATAACGCTTGCCAAGCGAAAACCCATTACGTCCTGGAACACTGCCGTCCATATAGCTTCTAATTGCTGTGTCGTACACAGTCGCTATGCAGAAAGTCTTAGCTTGTGGGGCTAATTGCTGTCCTCTGCACAGTTCGTAACTGGCATGGCAGTGGAAGATGTGCCGGGCTATGATATAGTCAACTGTCAGTCATGCAGGTCCGCGGCCGCGGCTTAATGGCACAAGCTGCTGGCTTGCGGAAGTCATAGGGTCGAAACCCGACAGGGTTCCGGAGAAGGCGAACGACTGACGAGACCCAGAATGTCGCAGCGCTGTATGGTGCTTATCCAAGCGTGTTAAGGCCTGCTGATTGAGAGTAAACTGTATCCTAAGACTAATTGTCAGTCGTCGTTACAGGGTGCTATGAACACGTTGAGATGCAGTACCCATTGGAAGCTGTTTCCGTGCTTTGGCCAAATTGATCGAAGCCTCAGAGACCCATTCAAAGTTCGGACTCTCATGTTTGGCTCACCAATCTCCATCGTCATCCATAACTGGTGGGCGAGTTCCTTATGATATGGTTAAATTGAAGTTACAATTGAGAAGCGCACAGCGCGACAAGATGACAAGAAACAAGCAACTGGAACAAGCTGCCAGCCACACATTGTAACACCTCGTGTTAAGTACAGAGTAGGTCGTGTACATCTCCGACTGAGACTGGAAAGGTCAACAACACTCAGTTTAGGCATGAGTTACGTTAATTCCCACTGTCAGATCATCAACCGCTTTACCTGAGGTCGTATGCAATTCAACGTGACCTGACACGTGACAGATGCCCGAACTAACGGAGATTTGCTGACTATAGCCACCTAGTATACTTCCGCGCTGCCATACACTGTAGGTCGAGCCAGTTCATGTGCTGAAGGTACTTGACATCATCAGATCGAAGGAGCCAAGTTCAAATCAAGTAGAGGAGAACGGATCTCAGCGTCGTGCGCGTGTATGCGCGACCTTACAAAGGAGAAGTGAGTCGCTCCTGGTAGTCCCAGCTCCGCAATATGTGAGTTGATTTGAGAAAACACAAACACGCTACTGCAAGTCAAGAAACAGGGAAGACCAGGTGGCTAGTGGTCGTACAAACACACATGCTTGAGGACAGGATTGCCCAAGTGTGTACAGGGCTGACTGCATCGCGTCGTGGCAGTCAGACAGCAAAACATATTTGTCTGTACAATACGGGTGTATATAGTAAGACTATAGAGGGCAGTATTCCAAGAAAGAATCAACAACACTATTTGGTAGGGACAGCCCTAGCGAATTCAGTTTGTTGTCAGAAAAGTGCCAAGCAATTTAACGATCGTCTGCAGCTAGATAAGGAATTGATTCTAGTTCTCAACTGCAATTGTGAGTACCAAAGCCAGGATTGTAGTGGAAACAGAAGCGGAAGAATTCACACTGTGCTAGGCAACCTAACTTCGCGGCCATTAAGTTGCATAGTAAACAACCTGATACGAGTCGAGGACTATAATCTACCGAGCGCAGTTGAGCATGTTGCGAATCACTGTACCATGTTCAGATACACTTGCACAAATGGACCAGTGTGTCGCTTCTGGTGGATAAACAATAATGCAAAACAGATGATGATAATGAGGTGCAAAGTCGGTGGCAATGGTCCCGAAACGATGAGATCAAGGTAGCCTGGACGCAAAACTTGATGAGTTGCAGATATTGCACGGTGAGATGAATATGACCACTTACAGTGATTGGAGCATTGATTGGGAGAGGGCCGAGTGTCGACGGGGGAGCTGTACAAACATCCGGGGGGAAACTTTGTCGTAAGACATCGATGGCGCTCTAGGAAAGCAGGCCCGAGGCAGTCGATGGGATCGCAATAAATATGCTGAGTTGCGCAAAAGTTGGTGTCCTGTCCATCGAACACATCTGGGTGGTTGTCCCGGATAAGGCACGGTGTGGGTGAAGAGCCATCGGGAGAAGCGAAATCTAAATCCTCATACACAGATTCGACCTCATCAGCACCGAGAGGGAAACCGGCTACGCCAGAAGTAAGGTCAGCCGGAGAGGATAAATCGTGACGTAACACCATACCCGCTCCATTAAAGCGACAGGGTTGTGATCTGTCTGTCCCAGTGGATAGGGTCATTGGTTTGGCAGTGAAGTTAGCGTATGGAGCGTGCTCGTGGATACCACCGGCAGTCGCCATATTTTTAACCTGAAAAAGTGAATAGCTAATGATGGCACAAGCAACAATCTGGAGGGCTGTCATCTAGTAAAGATGTTCTAAGTAATGCACATCAAGAATCCCAATGTGTCATAAGCAGTGAGTTAAAAGATGCGCAGCCACAAGTGTACACGATCATACGGTCGCCACACAAGTCCAAAAAAAGAGTAGAGGCGAAAACCAATCATTAAATCATTGCGTTGAACACAACGCCACAAAGTTTTTTGTGTTTCGCAGTGCCGTAGGAAGTTTTATGGGTTTGGAACCAATAATGAGAGGCCGAATGAATAGAAACCAATGTTCACAGGATCCGTCCTAAAGATATCCTGAAGACTGGAACGCGTCACGGTGCGCACTTTATTCAGATCGGTAAACAAACAGCACTTTCTCGAAAACACAAAAGACCTTATCAATCAATATGTGCCGCTTATCGGAAACCCGCCTGCAAGACCCGAGATTTGTGCTAACTCTGCGACCCTCTTCATGCGACAATGGTGATACCTTCGCACTGTGTCTATCCAAACATAACATGTCGGTCGAACCAGTGTGAGTATTTCGTGGAGCCCCTAGGCTGAAATTGCTCTAGGTAACTGTAAGCCCGGACTGGTGTAGGCTTCAGTTCCCACACCTCACGCAGTTGATAGGAATCAGCAGACTGATAGAACCAAAACACGAGAATAGAACCGAATAATTTCTATCACTTTAAGTGAACACACTTTGTATTTGCCAAGAACCGTGAATCTTTTTGGAGCCACTAGTGCCAAATATCGTTGCGTACTTTGACATGCGCCATCATTGTAGATAAATGCTACGCCATGAGAAGACTCTTTGCATTAGCGTGAAGAAACGTAGGTTTATTCAAACAGAGGACGATATGGTGTCGCATTTAAGTACTCATGAAACTCCGCTGTAACAATAATACTGTCCCGGATAAGCATAGGAGAGTATAAAAGAACATCCACCAATTGTGGTGTAGGGGAGCGGAGAGTCAGTCAACTCTAACTGTGATTGGCTTCAGAATACGCACCCATCCCTAACCTAGAGCTAGGAATAGATAGTTGGACTGCCGCGAGCGTAAGTGGTTGTTTGGATAGGACAGCTGTTACACTGCAAGAGCCGAAGTCTCATGAGACAGCCGGAGCAAGTGAATAGGAAAAAGCCTCATGTTGGAGAGAAGGTGGGCGTTTTGAATGGGACTCTTCGCAAAGAGGTTCATTTGAATGATCAAAAGGCAAAAGTCGCCGAAAGCACAATATTTCATCCCACCGGTATGGCAAAAAGCCGATGTACAGTGGTTGGACAAGATCCTATTCAAGTTGGGCGATTTGCGTATTTCCCAGAGTGACAACCGGTGTCAAAATTCTTAATATATCACTGCCTACCTGGTTACTCGTCCATCCAACTTAGCCCTGGGATGAAACCGTTGAGCTCGATTAGAGAACACAAGCGCAATGGGTTGTTTTTGATGATACGAGCGTACAATCCTTATCCACCGGGTTGATAATACTCGCATGAGATCATGCAGCCAATGAGGTGGGCCAGCCAAAACTCAACTGTGACTGACTGTGGTTGTAGGTGTATTATGTGATAATTTTAAATCTGCATTGGTTTCAGTACTCAGTGTCAGGCTAGAAGGCAAGCGAGTAGATGCCGCTATCTGACGCTCTGTTCCCTTAACAGTACAGCGAAAATTAACTGTGCGGTGTGCACGAGCGCGTGCGTGCGAGCAAGGGAGCGTAACGAAAGCATCCGAGGATAAACAGGAGCTTCGCTCGGAGGATCACGCTTACATCAGCATTCGAATCTCTGATACAGTGCCACACAGGGAAGGGGAACTTTATTGTAACCCTCATTTATTTATTAGGAAGTATATAAGACATGAGGAGCATGCAAACGTAGGAAATGTGCGCAAAAATTTGTATCAATCGATGGTCTGAGGAAAAAAGGGGACTGAAACGTTTCGAGAAAAACAGTTCAAATAAGTATGGGAAGAGCAGAACCCAGTATAACAGCGAAGTAACTTACCGCAAAGCGTTCTGGGGGTGGTCTCAGTTGCTGCGCCGAGGAGCCACCCAACACGCTACCTTGATGGGGGAAAAGGTTTGGTGGGAGGAAGTTGATCACTAAACGCAACTGCGCGGAAACTTAAAAAGACACAAGCTCACCTCGAGAAGGGGAAAAAAGCGGGATAGATAGTCAATACGGTTATGGATTGAAAGGCAGCACAACCCGTCAGAATGACAACCACTCATTTTGATCATAAAATCAGGTGGTAGGCCAAACTAACGTATGTGGTGGTTTCGGTACCGTAAGGTTACATGATCAGCAACGAGTTAACCAAGCCATGGGCAAATATGAAAAAAAAGAAACGAATGTCTTTCGCCATTCACACGCCAATACGTTTGTTACATTGCTGAGGTAATTGCACTAAACAAGTGAACTCAATAAAATTTGTACATTCTTACACCGAACCCAAATCTGCGTCAAACTCTCAGTGCTTTGGGACAACGGCATTCGTCACTCCATAAATCATAGAGCAGCAAGATACAACAGGTCAAAGAGCGCGAGATAGAAAGTCAGTGCATTTGTGCTTTGTTGAAAAGTGGCACGTTGACCATCAAGTGGTTTCTCCCATTGCAGTTTTATGCAAGAAAACAGGGTGCTGCATGTTAGACGGTTGAATGACGGGCGTAATAAAAACACATTAGTACACCGGAACACCGCAACGACATTTCGCTGCATAGGACGTAGCTTAGCTACCTCAATTAGTGCAGTGTTAAAAGAGTTAAGAAGTAAAATGGTATGTCTTGCTTTATCGTAGCGTACCCGACGCTTTAAACCTGTGTGGGCGATCCTACATAAGCACCAACTATTGATGACCAAAAGTTGAGGCATACCATTCAGGCAAAACTGCCAGTAATCATTTCCACACAGCAACACCACGAGAAACGGCATCGTGAAATCTCTCTTACTAAAAGAGAGTCGCCTCAATAGCGTCACGGATGTCTCATGCTGGTATACAAGGACAGAGTTTTGAAGACGCCACCGGAAAAAACACAGCGCTTCAAGTGGACAAAAATACCTACCAATTCAAGCTGTGTGACTTCAAGGGCAAGGCATAACTTACGCTTCAAAACAATCCTAATCAGGAAGTCGATTTTAGTTCTCCAAAGGAAATCGACGTTATTTACTGAATGAACCGGGCGATAGCAAAGTCCAGTTCAGTTTAGCAACTAAAATCCGTGCATCGAAGCAAATGGATCCAGTTACCGTTAAACACATGGATAAAACAATAATAATACTAATAAAAAATGCTTAAAGAAGAGCTCCTCAAGTCGCCATAGCGCCACTGTCTCCGTCGCCGCGCCGTATCCGGTAAGGTGTCCAACCACTGAGGTAGCCGAGGACCCCAACCAATCTGAACCAACCCGGTTCAGAATTACAGGCAGGTTGCTCATGTTCATATGTCGTGTCGCTGACTTCCCACCTGGAATTTCACGAAATCGGGTACAATACTGGCAAACAGCATACACCGAGTTAGCATGTTGGCAGGCATGCAGAGCACATAACGGAACCACAGGAGGCGATTCGAGTTCAACACGCATCCATATGAGGCACTTGAGGATCGGTTGTAAAACACCAAACGATGAGCCTGCGCATAATACTCGGTTATCAAATCAGATATGAACTGTTCTCAGACAGTGGTGGTCAGACACACTCAGTCTCCTAACGTTCTCGGTGCACAGCGGCCAGAACTCTGGTCTATACAGTGACACCACTCGTACCACAGACCGTCCTCTTGACCAATACGCTCACATCCCGCCGTTATCATAAGTGGCCGGAGCTTTGAAAGGCCGCTATCTGATGTGACAACTACGCAGATGACAAACCAATTGACAGTGTGAGAACTAGTAACGTGTGACAGTATTTTGCACTTTGGACGTGCAAAGCACATCCCGAAGCGTGCGACAATTGGCGTATCAGCCGAATTGCATATGGATCCCGTGAAATGTAAGTTTGACAGCCGGTTACCAAGTAGAGCTTCTGCTTCAGGAGCGAATAATGAGAAATAATAATTGATTCACGGCATTTACGAAGTCGAAAAGATTCTCAGCAAACAGACGCAGGATGTCCTGTCTACTCGGACTTCAATAAATAGCCATACTTGTGTGATTCCATCCCGAACTCTAATCAAGGTCAACAGAAGAGAGTAATGGGATATGTGTAGAAGGTGGAGGGAGTGCGGTAGAGAGTCATCGCGACTGGCTCTTTTTTGATCTGGAATCCAAAGTCAGTTGGAAAGCCACAGAGAAACAAGATGCAGGTTAATTAAACTAGAAGTGAGCAACATGAGCTCGCGCTTAAGACGTTATGATTAGCACAGATGCGATAATCGTTAAAATAAAAAGTGCAACGGCAAAAGTACCTCGCTTAAAGGGACACGGTATTGTTGCGTCGGAGTTGTTCAGCAAAGAAGACGGACGTGTACTGCAAGTGCCTGCGCTGTCGGTACAAGCAGGAGTATGCAGTGGGCAACTGGGCCGGAATGATTGACTTGGGGTCAATGTGTGTGACGAGAAGGTACGATCGGTGTTTGTCAGGCGAGGAAATTGGGTTCGTGGGAACAAGGCTTCACAATCTGGGACACTACATCGTGAGCGTGTGGTATCACTAGGCGGCGAAGGAAGCGGCTGGCAAATACTGCGGCCATGGTCTGCGGAAGTCTGCGGAGGAACAGTCTTCCGAAATGGATTATTTCGGAATCGTATCACATTAGTCGACTCCTCCTTGGCGGCACAGTCACGGGAGGCAGTCGGAGTACCGGAACCCTGCTCGACGCTAGCGCTGAAGTGTGACAGATGGACAAAAGGATGAATAAACAAAACGCCTTAAGAGCCCATAAGTATGAATGCAATGAAATACAAACAGTTGAATATCAATATAAAAATACAAGCAAGGCACCCAAGTCCACATGGAGCTTCTATGAACATAACAAAACAACATAAAACCATTGCGGTTGTATAAAACTAACACGACAAAAATCACTACTCCTAGTAGTTTGGTGGCTCTATATGTTGGACACAGAGAAATATAGACAATCCCCTTTGAAAATGGTGCTAATGATTGTAGAATCTGTGTGTGTGTCTGTGTGAAAGAGTATAATACTAAAAATAGAGCTGGAAGATATACATCGCTGTTGCCCCATCTACATAGTATCGGGCACATACGCGGGATAACGTTACTTACTACTGCGTTTTGTCAACATAGTTCAGCTATGCGACGTCTCCTATTCGAGAATCGGTCATCACCGTTTAATCCAATTAAACAGTCGGCACGAAAAGTAAAGTTTTACATTGGTTTTAGAAAACGACAGTTTCTCGCAGGTCCTTAATTGTAACGTGAGTTTATTCCACAGATGGGCGTACCTCAACAAGAAGAACTGCAAGCGGATATTTTTCTCGGTTCTCTGTAACGCGATGGTCGTACTGGTTGAACAAATTCGCCAGTACATTATGCTGTAGAAAAGAGTCAAGTTGATTTTCAGCCGTCTAAGCCAGAGTGGATTGAGCTGGAGGTGAGAACATCGCTCCTCATAGGTAAGTGTTGATGAGCGCCTCGTGAGCGTTTTGGTAAATCAGCGCTGGACGTTTTCCAAAGCAATACTATCTGTTTAAGTGTGATGGCGCAATACTCTAAAGTGGATCGCACAATGAGTCTGAATGATGCAAGTCCTGTTTGGGAAAATGAACATGATCTAGTGCTGTAGCTTGTTAGGTGCCTCGCTTTCGCTACTTGCTATAGGATGTGTTCGGAGAAGTTGAACCTGCCCGAATATCGAATTCCTAGGTCTCGAACAGAATACGCAACTGGGTACAGAGGTACCAGTGAGAGTGATGGATCCATCTGGTATACTGCATCTGTGGCAGTATCTGAGGTTTATCTGCAGGAAACCTCATTGACCTGCTTTCTCTCCATTTGTTTACGGATGAGAAATCCCCGGGTATATTTCTTAAACACAGTTTCACATGGTCAGGTTCACATGAGTACACTAGTCTGATGTCATTCGCAAATACAAATAGACGCCCGTATCTAATGTAATCACATACATCGTTTATGGAAATGAGGAAAAGCAATGGGCCATATACACTGCCCCGAACAACACCGCTCGTGAAATTTTTGGAAGTGGAGCAATGTTGATCAATCTGTATTCTTTGTGTTCAGCCGTTATGATATAATTCGAACTGACTCTAGAGAGGGTTGCTAATTCCAGCACGGCCAACAATACTTTGTGCGGTACACAGTCAAACGCTTTTTGCATGTCCAGAAGGACGATAATGATGGCCATGCGATCAGTTAAAGTTTCAGTAACATGATCGAGGAATTGCAATTGGCATGTGACACAAGAATGTCTTGTGGTGAATCCAAATTGGGAACTGCTGGGTAGGTTTTGTATTGTCAGGAACTGTGGTATCCGAGTCTTGACGATACTCTCTAAGACCTCAGAGATATGGTTTATCGGTCAATAATTTGACATTCTATCTCGTGAACCGCCTTTGTGTTTCGGTATAATTATGGAATTTTTCCACTGAGGCGGGAAGAAACTAGTGTTTAGTGACAATGTAAAAATACTCAACACGGGGAGAGATATGCTCTTACCACCTAACCTTATAGCTGCAAGCGGAATACCATCTGGTCCCGGTTGGAAAGTCGGTTTGATGTATGTTATACTTATCTGTACGTCCTTTAGATTCAGTGAAATGGTATATAATAGCTCTGCTGTTTTTCTTGGAAGGAGAGGAGAGGATAGAGATGATACAGTAGTAAACGAGACGGCAAAGTAAAAATCCACCGAACCACGTATTTGGACTATACCGTCTGTTGCCGTACCGACGTTTAAAACTAGGCAGGAATTACGTTGGTGTCTTCTCGGATTTCTACTTCCGAGTTATTGTATCAGCACACGAACTTCCCTGTATTAGTGATGGCTCGGGATTCCTTGGTAATCTTAGAATGTTCAAGTTTTAGTAAGATTTCAGGTATTTGATTTAACGCAGCGATATCTTTGTTTTTGCAGTGCAGTGATCTCAACTTTCTAAGCTTGGAAGCGATCATGACTGAGCTTGTGTATCGGCCGTCAAAGGGATCAGTGTTTACCTTAGTCCGTATATGTGATGACAATTTGCGCAAATTCGTCTGCGGCTATGACAGAATCTGATGTGGTCCCAATGCATGCTCCCAAACAGCTTGTCCAATGTGTTCTAATCAATAAAGTGTATTCTGGGTTCTGGTTTCCTTATTTCCTTGGTCTTTGCAGATGGCCTGATATTCGTGCTACAGAGAACCGTATTGTGGTCACATCCTATTAATGGGTCTTTAATTAACATAAAAAATAAGATGGGATACCCATGGTGAAAACCAGGTCTAGAATGTTATCTAACGTAGTAGGTTGTTTAACGTGTTGAGTTCAACCATTGGTATAGACACACTGGATCACTTCCGCAAGTTCCCAATTTGTTGTAGGTCTGTGTGACATCCAATTTAAAGTTGCCACATTGAAATCTTCACATAATAATTTGTACTTGTGTGGACCGCTGCAGATATTAACTGCTGAGATTCGTGGAGAGTGATATCAGGTTTATAAATACAGCCCAGTAGAAGAGCATAGGCGGGAATAGTTAGCCAGAATAAATCATTCAAATCATCGAAAGCTAAACCGGTCAGCTGAGAGTGTTGTTATGCCACTGCCTAAGTAGATGATACATCCACCACCGCGTTTGTACAGACGATCGTTCCGAAACAATTGATAACCTTCATCATTATCATTATACACGTAAGCTAGAGGTGAAAAAACACCTCCGCTATTGAGCCGCAATACATGAAATAAATGGTTGGCGGCATCCGGTTTCGGATTTGCCTATCACTGTGGCAAGCCACAGGACGCCTGCGCCTACAGAGGGACCATGGATAGCTTGCGCTGCACCACCCACAGCTCCAACCACACACCCCATATCCAGTGTAAACCCGAAGGAATAAGACCAGGAGGCATGCGGATGGGAACCACGTTTCATCAACGGAGCCGGCCCACACTCCTTCACAGGCAAACACAAGCACGCTGTATTTGGGGAATCAAGCGCACACAAGGCGGTGGCTGGACCGTAGTCCGCTCCATGCTGAGTGCATGGAACCGCTCTTAAAGCCTAGCACGGCCACAAGAACCGTGCACCCCGTCCCCTCCAGCAACGACCAACTGTCTCCTGGAGCCAGTATGGACGAGGTAGTGGGTAATAGACAGGTAGGCACCTTGTCAACATATACATCAAGCGCAACCATACCAGGGATATCAAACAACAGCCATTCACTTTAAACGACAAGCTGAAATAAAATAAATCCAATAATGCATACAGATACGGTGGCATAACTCTTCGCTAAATTACCATATGAAGTAATTTGGTTAGCAACAAATCGTGATAAGTAAGAAATGTCCACAAGTTACTTAAAATGCTACAAACGCAACAAAATTACCGAAGATAAGCGCAATTAGTGTAAGCAACGTGGCCAGTTAATAGAAGAGTATTCAGGTAGGCAGAACAAACCAAATAAAGCGGAATGAAATTTATCCAGCTTAAAAAGACCTAGTTTAAGTGTAAGTTGGTTTAGCCCAACTGCGGTGAAGAAGCATCAAGAATGCAACATCAGCCTCAGCATGGGGCACACATGAAAGAAATACATACATACATACATATAATACAATACAATACACAAAGGAAAAATAGATACAACAGTTACATGCCAGCTGAGCTACCAGCAACGGATAGGCATCGTTCCGGTAAGCTACCAGCCAGCTACAAGGCAAAAAGAAAAAAATTTATTATGTTTTACCCTACGAAATGAGATCGTAGATGGAGGGGGAGGCTAAAAGGGATGGAGAGGGACAAAGAAACTCACAGCACAAACTCCACTGAGGTCGGCTCCTTGCCATGTCAGCAAGTGTATCCAGCCAAACGTGTTCACCGTCTTTTGGACCCCAACCAGGGAGCCGTGACGCTCCAACCGAGGCTAGCTCCGAAGTGAGGGACTTCATTCCTCTGGACCAAGTCGTCGCTTGGCCAACTCTCCTCTTCTTCCACACACATCCCCGGTGAGCAAACAACGCACCTCGAGGGAGTCAGTAGACTGGCATGCGTAACACGTGGCCGAGCCATCGGAGTCTGGTGCGTGAAATAACGGTGCTGAGCGGTTCAGTTCCTTTTCCTGGGCCGTAAACAATGCGTCGAACACGCTCGTTACTCACGCGGTGTTATCACCAGATGTGAGCCCAACTGCAAAGGTACCGATGGTCGAACGTAACTAGCCTCTTCATGTCCGCCGATCTTAGGGGCCAGGTTTCGCAACCGTACACTAAGGTCGGACCTACCGCTGCATTGTACACTCTACCCTTCAGGGCGAGAGTGATGTCGCGCCGCCGCCATAGGTGGCGAAGGTTGGCAAAAGCACTTCCAGCATTCCCTATACGGTTCGTGATCTCGTCTTCGATCGCAAGGACGCTGATACAACTTCCCAGGTAACTGAATTTCTGAACGACTTTTAGCTGATCCCCACCAAGGGTCAGCACAGGAGGCGATCCCTGCCAATCTTGGAGGAACACTTTGCATTTCGATGGTGCAAAGCAAAGCCCGAAGCGGCTGACAGCCAGTGCTAATCTGTCCAGCGCGGCTTGGCACGTCTGGGAGCTGTCACAGATGAGGGCAATGTCGTCTGCATACTCCAAGTCAAGAAGTCGTTCACCTGGGAGTAGCTACACACCTTCCCAGTCATGTCCTGTAAATGTACACTCCATGGCTTCGTCAATAGCGAAGTTGAAGAGGAAAAGTGACAACGGGCATCCTTGTCTCACACCGCTGGAGATATTGAAGGGTGGCGACAGCTTGCCGTAAGCCCTCACTCTGCCCGTGCTACGCGCATATAATGCTTGGATAATACTTATATATTTCTCGGGTACATCTTTCCTGAGTAAACAATTCCAAAGGGCACATCGATCAACCGAATCGAAGGCACCTTTGATGTCGAGGAACACGACTACGGTGGGCCGCCATTATGTGTGACGGTGCTCCAACAACTGACGCAAGGTGAAGATGTGGTTGATGCAGCCACGACCACGACGAAACCCGGCTTGCTCCTCACGAATCTGGCTTTCACGAGCGCCAGTCAGTCTGTGAAGAATTATGGAGGCGATGGAGATCAGACTGGTTCCTCTATGGTTGCCGCATTCCGAGCGCGAGCCCCCTTTGAAGATGGGAACAATAACGGAGCGGCTCCAGTCGGTTGGGACAGTCTCCTGCTTCCACAGTTTCACTAGTAATTCATGTAAAGCATCAACAAGAGCAGAGCCTCCGAATTTGAGGAGAGCTGGAGGAAGATCATCTGGTCCCGCGGCTTTGTTCAACTTCAACAGTCCCATCTCACGTTCGAATTCTGAGCAAGAGAGTGGATCCAAAGGGACAGCCCATGGAGCAGGGCGATCAGTGACCGACAAATCGGACAATTCTAGCCGATTAAATTGCTTTTCAAAATGCTCAGTCCAACGCTCCAAAGATTTTGACAAATTGTGGATAGGCTGTCCACTCTTGTCACGTATAGTTTCACTAACACCAGGTCTCCTGTTGCCCGTTTCCCGTGTCAGACGGAATAACTTACGATGGTTGCCAAGGGCAGCGGCCACTTCCATCTCTGACGCACGATGAGACCACCAAGATTCGCGGTCTCTCTTCAGCCTAGCGCGGAGTTTTGCCCGGAGCAGTTTGCGAGTTTCAATGTGCTCGATCCCAGCCGGGATATGTCGGCGAGCGTCGATAAGTTCCAGAGACCGAGAAGAGACCTAATGTCCATGTTGGCTATTATATATACCACATGAGGATTTGCCCGCTGCTAGTAACGTCTGGCGAACATGTGACCATCAATTGTCTCCAGTGAACGATTACTCAACTCGCATGTCAGCGTACTTCGATACGCATTCAGAACAGCTAGCTTTGTCAGTTGGCTGGTGTCAATGCGCTCACAGCGTCGTCGTGGGCGTCCGCCAAAGTGCATCCGCATGTCAGCATATACAAGTGTATGACTGGTGTCCACACATGTGCTCCAAATCGAGCGACAATTCTGGATGCAGCCTCTCCAGCGATAACTAGTAGCAATGTGATCGATCTGCGTCCATGGCTGGTGGGCGCCAAGTCACCCTACGGAGGGTGCTGTGTCGGAAATTAGTGCTCGCAAGAAATAAGCGAGCATCTTCACACAAATGAAGTAACCGCTCACCGTTATCATTATGGCAGCCTACACCGTGCTGACCGCCCAGATGCATTTCATCAGTGGACAACTTTCCAACTTGTGCGTTCATATCCCCCGCCAACACAACAGTGTCCGTGCTTCTTCTGCGGCGAAGGAGCTGAGTCAGTAGGCGGTAAAAGTCGTTCTTTACCGAATCATCGCTACAGTTTGTGGGCGCGTAGGCAGCGATGGTGAATAGACACCTATTAGTCCCGTGCGACTTCGAAGCTTTAAACGAGCCAGCCAATCGGACCGCACACATCCGGCTACTGATTGGAATCCACTCAACCAGAGCAGCTTCAGCCCGGGGACTCAGAACAATGCCAACACCTGCTTGGCCGGTGCTAGAACCTTCATCGACACCGGATAGGCGCAAGGAGAAAATACTGTTTGCGTCACCTGAAGGGGATCGCAGAGTGAGCACAGAGCTCGAGTCTTGCAGGCGGGTCTCTGATAAGCAGCAGATATCGATCGAGAGGGTCTCCAATGTTCGGGCAAGTGCTGCCTGTTGACTGGTTTGTAGCAGTGTGCGTACACTGAGGCATATCAATCTGAAGGAGGATCGAGGGCTCCAACTGGAAGCCGATGAACTGGAATGGACCGCTTGGTTGGACATGGGCTTGTCGACAGGAGAGGAGTGACGCTCCGCGTGCACATGTGAGTTGAAATTAGAAGATAAATGCCTAGCAAAGCATGTTGGGGGAGGACCAAGAATCGGGGAGTTGAAAACTGGGGGGATATAAGTGAAGTTGGAAGGGGACGATAAGAGTGAAAAGCGTAAGATGGGGAATAAGAAGACGGGTAGGCTTGAGCAGTAGCATCCAAACCCCTATCGACCCTGTTCGATGCAGCAGATAGGGCACCGTTGATTATCCTCTGCGGTGGCCAGAGCATCAGCAATTTGTTTGAGGTAAGATTCATGATATTGCATGGACACGATACTGTCAGGTTTCCCAGGCCTAGACAGGAGAACGATTAGGGTTCTCAACTAAAGCCTTTGGTTCAAAAACCTGACCGCAAGGCAGCGGGTTACAACGAGTCCGTTTTAAGAAATAAAGTGCCACCCTCATTCCAACCCCCAACCTGGAGGACCAGGAGGCTGAGTTTGTCTGGCCTCTAATCATTGACCAATCTGGCATGAGTGACTATGAAGGTGCAAAAGCACTACCCAGCATAGCTCAATGGATCGCACCACGGTAAGGTCCAGCCTCAATGCGATGGACAATTGATAACCTGAAATATCCAATTGAAAGTCACAGATAACTGGTGTGCACCATGCTTCGGTGATACAAAAAATGTGAGGAGTTTTAAGGAACATAAACGTTGTAAGTATATCCAGTTTCGGTAATAGCGGACGAATATTTATAATAGCGGATCTAAGTAAAAGGGCTGATGTAGGACACACTCATCTGGTTATATTACGCCCTCTGTCTTCATGTACGCGGGTGATGCGCTATGGTGAAGCTACTGAGCTCTGTCGTACGTCACGATGACTTGGTTCCAGCGAAAGGAATGCTGGAACAATTGGATCATCATCGGGTTTTTTATGGTCGTGTGTGGAGGCCCTATTGGTGAGGGTGGATGTCACCCTAAAAAGAGGGTCAATTGGCAAAGGATGAGACTGTTCCGTAGGAGGAAGTGGCGGTGGAGGGTAGGCTAGAAACTGAGGCTACCATTGGGAGGTAGTGGAGGTGGGAGGGCGTATGCCCACATACGTATTTTCGGGTATGTCATGAATTACTGCGTTATCCCAGTTGGAATGCTGCCATCTTCGGTTCGGAGAGGTACGCAGGAAAAACTTTTGATGGTTAATAGTAGGTCGAGTGGTTATTATTGACCCCAGAATCGGTTCCAACATCATATATTGAGGTGCGACAGCGTACAGTTTTCCTCATCTGATTTAATGAGCGTTTCTGATATTCTGATGGAGGATGTTTAGGTATTATCCGCTGTTGGGAATTTCCATGGAATATTATAGTGACAGCTGTGACAGCTCTCAAACGCACCAATAGGCAGTGGACAGATTAGCACTGGCTGTCATCTGTTTCGGGCTATGTTTTGCGCTCTCGAAATGCAAAGCTTTCTTCTAATACTGACAGTGACCGCCTGCTACACTGACCCTAGGTGGGGACCAGCTAAAAGTCGTTTAACAATCAAACTACCTGGGAACGTGTATCGGCGCCCTTGGAATCGAATACGAGATCACAAACCGTATACCAAAAGCTGGAGGTGCTTTTGCTAACAGCCGGCGCGCCATTATTTTGCCTGGAGGTTATAGTGTACAATGAGGCCGTCCGCTCAACACTTTTTTACGGCTTTCTTACGGGCTTTTATGAGCTTTTTATGGCCCATTTGATCAGTAGATATGAATAGGCTACTTACGTTCGACCATCGGTGCTTTCACAGTTTGGCCCATATCTGGTGGAAATACGGCGGGAGCAACGAGCATGTCCGACACCTTGTTTATGACACAGAAAATGGAAATAAACCGCTCAGCACCATTGTTTCACGCATAAGGCTCAGATCGTTCAGCCATGTGTTACGCGTGCCAGCCCATCGACTCCCGCGACGTGAGTTGTTTGCGCGCCGCGAGTGCGGATGGAAGAAGAGGAGAGGTGGCCAAGAGAAGACTCAGTCGAGAGCAAGGAAGGCCCTTACTTCGACGTTGGTCTCGGTTGGGTCCTCAGCTCCCTTAAGGGGGTCGGAAAGAGGAGGAATACGTTTGTCAGGATCCACTTGCTGACATGGCTAGGAGCCGACCTCAGTGGTGTTTGTGTTGTTTCTCTGTCCCTCCCTATCCCTCCTAGCCTGCCCACCAACCGCGATCTCATTTTTTAGTATAACATAAATTTGGCATGGTAAAAAATTTTTGCTGCATAGTAGCTGGTTGGTAGCTTTCCGGACCGAAGCCAATCCGTTACTGGTTGCTCAGCTGTTGTGCAGCTGTTGTATGTTTTCTTCTTATGTATTGCAGCACAGTAGCTGAGGGGTTTTCCAGCTATAGCTAAGGTGTATATGAATGGTGAAATAAAGTAAACAGAACCAAACTGAACCGTGCAAACGGGGTAGGGTATGAAGATGGTGATCGCGCTGGCCACCGATCGTGTTTCGGAAAATTCGTCCCACTCAACCTCGTCCACAGTGCATGCACTCAAATCGTCGAACGGAAGAAGTGCGGTAAACATCAACTATGCGAAACGGAGAGGAGTAGAATTCGGCATATACAGCCTTTTGGGAAACACATTCACAAGGACAGATTAGAATGAGACAAACGTTGGATGGCTGCCACTCACCGGCTGGGGAATAGCATACTCAATGAGGCGTGCACAGTGGGCCATTCAGATCGCCAATGAGAATTAGCGGCCTTACGATCGACCACAGACGAGGAGCTCGGTGCGACGACGGACTGTTGAACGGCATCGAGTGTCAAATTCTCCGTATGCGTTTTGGAGGATAGGATTGCGTTTGGGTGTGGTATTTCAACACAAGTAGCTGATTTCCGTTTGGAGGAATTGGTGCATTTAGTGAACACCTTCGATTGCGAGCGATGTGAAGTGGAATCGGGGTTGGCAACGGGGTTCAGCCGTCGTGTGCTCACAGACAGCTTTTTTAACGCCCTGTTAGTTTTCTGCATAGCACGACGTCCTGTAGCCGAGGCGGTAAGGAACAGACTACTGTTTGAGGACAAACCATGTGTGGTTGTGGCGCTGATATTGTTCACCCGGATGGAGGACGCCGCCGGACCGCTACTACTGTTACTGCTGGGTGGTGCAAAGCTGTCCTCTGAGGAGGCGGGTTTGCTGGTCGATGGAAATGAGACCATGGAACAACTGCACAGTGGATTTGATGGAGGTGGATGCAACGATTCTGTGGCTGATGTTCCCGCAGTGTCCCAACAGCGACTGAGGAAGTTGATTAGGTGATCTAAGGAAAAGTAGATAAAAAGATGAACAAGATATTAGAGGTGCAAAGCATAATCAAGTTTCCAAGTAGTGAGCCACCTTGCGCGGAGGATATGAATGAAAAAGAAGTGAGGCATTGAAACAAATAGCAAGAGGCATCAGAAGTATGCCGGTACACCGTACCGATGCTTTGTTGTCATGCAACCACTATCAGTCGCGCGTAGGCTAGGGATATTGCGAGGGTCGCCCGGTCCCATGCGCAGACGCAACCCGTTGACGTCCGGGTTGCAAGACAGACGTCTTGTCTTTTCGGGCAGCGACCGGCGGTTTTGAAATAAACTTGGAGTCGCCCAATTCGCACTAGTGAATGGAAGATCGCCCGAAAACTAAGAACCGCACGTTAACTGAACCGGTAAAAGCCATCGGACACATGGCGAATAGTCCAGCATAAAAAGTGTGAAAATAGTCGTGGAACAGATCCGCATGAGGACCGCATCCCTAGGTCCACCATAAACTGGACATTAGTGCCAACATACGTATTGTATTTTCCTGCGACAGTTTGCCAAAATAGTGCTGCTCAAGACGATCTGTATGTGTGCATGCCATTTCTCTAACAGTGCATTCCTAGTTTCGTACCAATCGGAGCTAGCTCCATCAATTTGACAAAATTGTTATTAACAAACACGCACGATTTGAAAAAATCGGACAAAAAGTAGTGCGAACCATAGTGTCGATAGCCAGTTTGATAAATTTTCGCCGCGGAGAACGACGGAATTGAGAGCAACCCTGTACCACGTACGGCAACTGCAAGTACTTACACCCAGAGGCTTCCCGACGGTGTCCAGACCCTAACTAGTCAAAAGCACCACATCGGGATCTAAATTCTGCAAGCAGAGACTCGCTCGGATTTTTAACACCAGTTGCCGTTGCTAGGGGGGGGGGGCAATTCCATTCTCAGCATATGAGAATACGTACGGAGTACCTTGAGACAACCTGTAATCGAGGTTGACCATGCTGCAGTAGACGTCTTAGAGAATAAATCAATTTTAAGTCACGTGTCGACCATACGCATTCGCCACCGCAGCCCAGAGGTTTAGGTAACAATTTGCAAAAGTCGGGTTACGGATTTAGCTCTCATCTCACCAAACAGTTCTGAAGAACAAAACTGGTGCCCGTTATTTTTCCGGATACCGGTGTTTATGTGACTGGGCTGAACCGTGAGGAGTTCTCATGAAGTGGATCACACACTAGTGAGATATTCCCTAGCAGGTTACACCACTCGGGAGAGTAAGTGAACTTTTTGCACTGAAGGGATGGTAACGGTTGGAGTGGTGATGGAGTTAACGAAGATCAATCAATCATACGCGTAAAGTGATCAACTCACAGAAAAGGAAATTATGCGTGTGCATTAGGAAATAATCATTACCGAGTATATTTGGGGGTGGAAGAGAGTCATTAGACGTGCCGTCCCTCCTCAACCTAGAAGCAGAAGACGCGGGGTCAGGACAACAGTGGAGGTCAGGGGATGTTGCGTCGTTACTAAAAAACGAACAGCTGGTCAAATGCGAACTGTACAGTGTGGACGATGCGGGATAGATTACAGGAGCAGTGTTTTTACTAATATCCTTCGGATGGCTCATGTGGTCCGCCAAAAGGAGCATATGCGGTACCTCTTTGGGTAAAATATCCAGAACACTACGAATGGCAGCGAGGCGGGAGTCCCACGAAAGAGGTCTATAAGCAGACGAATGTGAAGCCGATTCGGTCGAATTTGAATCACTAGGGAGTACTTCACCGAAGTGCTGCTGCTGTGGATGCTTGTGGACCAATCCCGTGATAGACTGTGGACAGGAACAACATGTCTCGCAAACACAGTCCGTTGAGACGGTAGAGTGACCGTGGTCCATTCCGAACAAAGCACAACAGTTGCACAAGCCGACGGAGGGAAGTTGTATGGAAGGTTTGTGTTCATGTGTATTGTTAATTTCTCTATCTCTTGCGTCGTTTGTAAAGAGGAAGGACGAGTCCGACGATGGACGGGGAGTTAGCATACTATCATCACCATCATCCGCTCCGGTTGAGACCGTGCGGGAGACAGGAACGGGGAGAGTCGAGCCTTCCATTGTAGCTGGGTCCGTTGAAATGATCTTGCACTGGGAGCCGTCAGAACCTCTTTCCGAAAAGCCATGCAGACTCGCATCGCCCTGCGAGCCGAGGACAAAAATATAACCATGATACACACGTCTACTCAAGCACCAATCTGAAACGCTTGGATTTGTTGTTGGCAGAAATGGACCCATTTGATGCGTAGACACAGAGTCGTGAAGCAAACAAGATGACAACAGATTGCTGATGACCTGAAGAAAAAAATGAAATCAGGGGTTAAAGATATCTCGAGGCTACAGGACGGTGCGAATACATTCTCGGTACCTCAAGAATAAAAAGGAGTGCAATCATGCTAGGGAAGAACAGAGCAAGAAGAAAACAGGAAATATGATCGAAAGGCAACATGATCTATGTGCTGTAATCAAGCAGTCCAACGAAAATTGTGGTAGTCCGACAAGTCACAGTACTGGTCAATAGACGAAATGGCGTTCGAAAAGCCGGTTGCTGGAAAACCGATTGAAGTTGATCCACATATAGGCCGAGACATAAGAATAAAAACAATCCAAATGTGAGGTTACCTGCAGTAGTCAAAGTAGACAGATTGATGATGTTGAGAGTGGGTTTTACAAGAGAACACATAGTTAAAAATGAAGTGGCTGCGAAAAAAGGACGCTGTGGGTTGGAACACGTTCAAAAGATTGCTGTAATGAAAGAGGTGATCGCTTCAAACACGAGTCCTGTGTGAGATAAACCTACAAAAAATGCTAATACTATGAACTGACCTAGTGCCCAATGGAATGCTACGGTGTGTGCCATAGCACGAGAATGGAAACAACGTAGGCTAAACCGCTTGAGGATGCAAAGAAGGAGATTCATAGATGATAAGAAGAAAGCAATCAGCCAAGTAAAGACCACTAGCCCCATGATGAGAGGAACAACTTCGCAAGAAGCACAAACGGGATATTTAAGCGGAAAATTAGAATCAATTCATCAGGTCCTCTGATCTGAGTCGCTACTTTCAAAGGTGACACAGGCTGAGCCAGAAATATCTCTGACGTTTCATTTAAAGCATAATCAGCAAACGATTCTGCACTACAGGTCCGGTCCATCATGCTTGCGCAATTCAAGGGGGTAGGATTAAACAGATATGAAAGGGGAAAATCGCCCCGTTACTTGGAGCAAATCGAGTACAGTTGTCTACGAGTTCATAACGGTGTGGCAGCGAAACACAAGCGATGAACATTGATGCACTGTCGTAGATGATGATAACTATGGTGCAAATAAAATCGCGGATGACCTCATGTTTCGTTCAGCTAAATAACTATATTCCCTGTAGTAATAATAAAAATGAGTCAGCTGTAAGTGGTAACGGCGCTTCGCTGCCGTGCGACCACCACCAGTCGCACGCGAGCTGAGTACACCGCGAGGAGGCCCACATCTATGTAGAGTCGAATCTGCTCCGCAAGAGTCCGAGACAAGCTCACTTCTAGGTTACGGGCCGAATATTCCGTGCCTGTGTGCGATGCACCAAGCTAGTAAAGTAAAAAGAATAATAAGAGTGAAAACAAAAAGAGGAAGATATAAATAGTAAGGAATAAAATGCTAATCGTTGCTCAGATAGAAGGGGGAACGGTGTTCGTGGTCGCACTAGGCTCAAAGCGTGATTCCATCCAGTGTACGGCGAATTACGGCCCAGCCACTGTCTTGCGTATGTATGGTACGCATAGTTCCAAAAGTACAAAAACGGGAATGCTGTTGATGTGCATGCTGAATGAATGCGGACCGGCTCCGTTGATGAAACGTGACTCTCACCGACATGATTCCCGTTCTTATTCCTTCGGGTTTACACTGGATATGGGGTGTGTGGGTGGTGCAGCGCAGATCATCCATTGTCCCTGAGTAGGCGCAGGCGTCCTGTGACTATCCTATGAAGGTAACAGTGGCAGCCGAATTCGGAACCGGATGGCGCCAACCATATTGTCGCGATTTTATATATATATATATATTCATCACAGCCAAAAGTACTATTGGCATAGTGCCACAAGGTATGGAAAATACAATAAACATACGAAGAAAGGATGTTCATGGGAATAGTGGATCACAACAAGTCCGCCATTGTGCACAAGTTCTTGCCATATCCAAGAGCGTTTGCAGTCATGTGTGTTCCGGGTCCTTCACACTCCAGCCAGGGAGCCGAGAGCGCCCGACCACGGCTAACTCTGACGTTAGCCCCTTCATGCTCCTGGCCCAAGTCAGACGTTGGCCACCTTGCTTTCGCTTCCAGCCGACTTCTGCGTGCGCGAAGAGTGCACGGCGAGGTAAGCGATGAGTAGGCATGCGGAGGACGTGCCAAAGCCACTGAAGTCTGCGTAGAGAAAGTCTACTGCACAGTGGCCGGCAAAGTCTGTCTTATCTGAAAATCCTTCGTCGAGTATCTTCATTCTTAGTGTGATGTTGCCATCGTACACCAGCAATGCTCGGAAGGCAGCGGTGATCAAAAACAGACAGCCTCTCAACATCTTTTGCGCGAACAGGCCGTCTTGCAGCCGTAAAGGAGAACCGCTCTCATTGTGGCATTGTGAACTCGGCCCCTCAGAGCTAGACTCAGATCACCTCGACGCCAGAGATGGCGGGGGTTAGCAAAAGCAACCCAAACTTTGGAGATGCGCAAAGACACTTCATCCGTTAAACCATTTGCGCTGAGGCAGCTTTCGAGGTAAACGAAGTTGTCCACCACTTCCAATGTATGAGCTAGAAAGGTAAGGTCAGGAGGAGCGCCTAGCCAGACATGTAGGAAAACCTTGCATTTCGATGGTGCGAAGGTCATTCCAAACTGGGAAACAGAAATCTCCAACCTACAGAGAACGTTTTCGGCGGCCTGTGAGGAAGCGCAGATTACGGCGATGTCGTCTGCATACTCCAAATCCCGAAGTCGATCCCCCGGAAGCAGCTCGACGCCGCTGAGTTCGCCGTTCTCCAGAGCCCTCCCCAAGATTTCGTCTGTAGCGAAATTGAACAAGAAGGGGACGCTGTGCAACTCCATCTCACGCCACTAGTGATACAAAAGTGGGGCGAAAGTCCGCCGTACACCCGCACTCAGTCCGGAGTTTGAGAGTAGATGGCTTGAAGTAAGGTGACACTTCTTGGGTACTCCCCTTCTCAGTAGACAACTCCAGAGAGCAGCTCTGTCGACTGATACAAACGCGACTCGCATGTCTAAGAGGACAACGATCGTTGGCTGGCCAAATGCTTGACGACGCTCGGGTATTTGGCGGAGTGTAAAGATGTGATCGATGCAACTACGACCTGAGCGGAATCCAGCTTGCTCTTCACGTATGCTCTGTTCGCGTACCAGACACAGCCTCCATAAAAACAGAGCTGCGAGCATGTTGGAAGCAACACAGATGAGACTAATCCTTCGGTGGTTGGAGCAGTCAGTTAGGGTACCCTTTTTGAAGACGGGCACGATATCCGCTAGGCTCCAATCAGACGCGATAACTTCAATCACCCAGATCTCTTGGAGCAGAGAAGCTAACTCCTGAACAAGTGATGGGCCGCCATCTTTGAAAAGAGCCGGAGGGAGTTTATTTGGGCCAGCGGCTTTGAAGCGCTTTAAGAGGCAAAGTTCGTGGACAACCAAGGCCTTGGATGGCGGTGAAACGTCTAGACACCAGGGAGCGCGCTGGGCTCCAGAAGGGGAACTCACTGATGCTGCTTGCCAATTAGACTGCTGCTTGAAATGCTCGTCCAAACGTTCGAGTCTGCGTGTTTGACAGTTGGTTGGCTCGCCATTGGTATCGCATAAAATTTCGCTTACAGTCTGACTTTTGCCGCCAGTAGATCGGATCAGGAGGAAAAGCTTACGGAAATTCCCCGAGGTGGCCACCTGCTCCATCTCAATGACCCGCTGCGTCCACCAAGCCTCGCGATCTTCCCGCAGAAGCCGTTTCAGCTCAGTGTTAGTAACCTTGCGTAGTGAATGGTATTTAACGCTAGCAGGAATTGCTCGACGGGCTTCGAGAAGTTGGAGGGATCGTTCAGAGATCCAGTGGTTGACAGGACTACTGGTGAAGCCGCAGACCGGGGTTGCAGAGTTGTACATGGCGCCGCGGATGTGTCTCCAGTGTGTTTCAATGTCTATGCACGAGGCAGTTTTTAGCTGTGAGGCCAAGGCATTCTGAAATGTGCGGAGAACGTTTGAGGCAGAAAGCCTAGCTATGCCAAGCCCTTTCTGGCGACGCTGCTAGGAGCCACCGAAACGTAGCGCAACCTTGGCACACATCACCGCGTGATCCGAAGTGAGGCAGGTACTCCAGATTGATTTACAATCCTGTATGCTACCGCGCCAGCGATAGCTAATGGCGATGTGGTTAATTTGTCCACAGCTGGCCAGGTGATGGGGGTTTCCAGGTGGCGCGCTGGCGCCAGGATCCCGGAAACCTAGTGCACGACAGAAAGAGGCCGCGAACGGCGCAAAGCTGAAGTAGTCTATCACTGCTGTCAGTTCTGCAAATGCCATGGCCGTGTTGATTACCGAGTTCACGTTCGTCAACTTTAAGTCTACCGACCTGCGCATTCAAGTCCCCGGCGAGCACCACGATGCCGGTACGGCGCTTTTTATGGAGGTCGGCTAGTTGACCGTAGAACTCATCTTTAACTGACTCCGGGCTGCAATATGTGGGAGCGTACGCTGCGACAATGAATAGACAGCGTCTGCTGGTTGGCTCGCCATTGGTATCGCATAAAATTTCGCTTACAGTCTGACTTTTGCCGCCAGTAGATCGGATCAGGAGGAAAAGCTTACGGAAATTCCCCGAGGTGGCCACCTGCTCCATCTCAATGACCCGCTGCGTCCACCAAGCCTCGCGATCTTCCCGCAGAAGCCGTTTCAGCTCAGTGTTAGTAACCTTGCGTAGTGAATGGTATTTAACGCTAGCAGGAATTGCTCGACGGGCTTCGAGAAGTTGGAGGGATCGTTCAGAGATTCAGTGGTTGACAGGACTACTGGTGAAGCCGCAGACCGAGGTTGCAGAGTTGTACATGGCGCCGCGGATGTGTCTCCAGTGTGTTTCAATGTCTATGCATGAGGCAGTTTTTAGCTGTGAGGCCAAGGCATTCTGAAATGTGCGGAGGACGTTTGGGGCAGAAAGCCTAGCTATGCCAAGCCCTTTCTGGCGACGCTGCTAGGAGCCACCGAAACGTAGCGTAACCTTGGCACACATCACCGCGTGATCCGAAGTGAGGCAGGTACTCCAGATTGATTTACAATCCTGTATGCTACCGCGCCAGCGATAGCTAATGGCGATGTGGTTAATTTGTCCACAGCTGGCCAGGTGATGGGGGTTTCCAGGTGGCGCGCTGGCGCCAGGATCCCGGAAACCTAGTGCACGACAGAAAGAGGCCGCGAACGGCGCAAAGCTGAAGTAGTCTATCACTGCTGTCAGTTCTGCAAATGCCATGGCCGTGTTGATTACCGAGTTCACGTTCGTCAACTTTAAGTCTACCGACCTGCGCATTCAAGTCCCCGGCGAGCACCACGATGCCGGTACGGCGCTTTTTATGGAGGTCGGCTAGTTGACCGTAGAACTCATCTTTAACTGACTCCGGGCTGCAATATGTGGGAGCGTACGCTGCGACAATGAATAGACAGCGTCTGCTGGTTTCGCGCCCGCACAGTCGCACTGAAATTTCAAGTCGGATCGCGTATAGTCGACTGTTAACAGGGATCCAGTCTAGTAGCGCGGCCTCAGCGCGTGTGCGCAACCCAATCCCCAAGCCAGCATAACCAGCGGTTTCGGCGGTTGAGTCTCCAGATAGGCGCAAAGTGAAAATGCCAATGGAATTCTCAGACGGTGAAACTAGTCGCATCGTCGTGCTAGAGTTCTATAAACGGGTCTCGCTGGGACACCAGACATCAGTGGCTGTAGTTTCTAGAGTGCAAGCAAGGGCTGCTTGTGATCAAATCTGCATCAGCGTCCGAACATTGAAGATTGTCAGCTTGAATTGGGAACGGAGCACTAGAAATGGCTTGTCAACACGACTTGGCGAATCTTCGAACCTAGGATCCTAATCCATATGGCGAGAAAGTTCGCCCAAGGCGGCACGATGTTGCGAACTCGAAAACGAAGGGGGAATACCAATAATAAGGGTTTAAACAAACGTGGAATAAAGTGACTAAATGGTGATGCGGCAAAATGTGGTTTGGCAGGTTCAGCGGCCAGCACCTCGGCCGATGAGAGCAGTTCGAGAGATTGGGAGCAGATAGAGCGAGAGCGGATAGAGCAAGCGAAGAATTGTTGAGACATGGATCCATAGGTTGTGTGGGCATAGTACTTCCCGGTTGCCAGGAACCTTGGATCATAAAAACCTAACGCGTAAGGCATCGGGGCGATTGACGTATATCGCGACCGTTGGGAGCCGGCTTTCTAGGTGAAGGACTTTCGAGTAGAGACAAACTACTCAGGACGGCCAAAGAGCCCCAGTGAAGCAGCAAGAACTACCGAGCTCGCCGCGAAGGCCGTTGACAGCCGGGTAGCTCATACGCCTTCACAGAAACCGGTGGCCATCGAAGTTATTCATCCGCCCTCTGTTAAGTACTCACTTCTATGACCAGAAGTGAGTGGTCAGTGACCCTATAGCCGATCACACTGGCTTTGACACAGCACCAAACGAGCTTTTGTGGTATGTAATGAAGAACCAGGTGACCAGTCCCCTGGGATGGGAAAATTGTTTAGGAGACCATGGAAAGCACGCTGTGAAAGGCGGGTAATAATAACACAAATAACAAAATTCACTTTAAAGAATTTTCCTGATCTTTGCGCACTAGTCTCCCCTGGTAACTACTGGTCAGCGAAATGAATTACGCGCGCGTAAGTGGCTGTTAACGAAAGTGTGAACGCCAGACCGGGCAGACTATCTGTTGCGGAGATGACATAGCTCCGCCAAACTCGCGCAGATTTCGTCGGGGTCACCTCAAAGATATGATCGCCATACGACGACTCAGACTGTGCAACTAATAACCGATTCATCCTCAAGACTTGGATGCCTATCCACGCTTTACTCATGACACTGATACATCAACTGTGCACTGTTACACTGTGTAACACACACAGTGTAACACACACACAGTGTAACAGACTGTTTCTCCTAACAGATATCACCAGACTGGGTAATTGCTGATATATATTTCCTTGCATTCCCACCCACATACTTAGTTGAGCGTGGATTTAGTAGAGTGGTTTCTATAAGGAAATGTGGAAACAGATAGGATATCACAGAAAGAGGGGATTTCGGACTCATGATGTCATGTCTGGAGAAGGACATCCGCAAAGTTGCTCATGGAAATCAAGGCCAAAGGCTCGCATCAATAGCAAGACAAATATATTGTTACGAAGTTTCCACACCTCCTCATTCACGACATGCCTTACGGTTAAAAGCCAACAATAATTAAATAAAAGTTTATAAGTTAATGACGACGTTTGTGTAATTACATACATGTGGCTTGATGTTGCCGCACAATGATTGCTATCTTGAAGCTGTGAAAGTTAAAAATGAGGTTTAGAAGGGAAAGAACAGGTATACCAAGAGTAAAAATTTGGCCATCAGAAAAGTAGATACTACTACGACCACTGGAACCTACAGATCTACGTCTGTTAGGCGTTGCGGACTGCTGAAATTGTGGTGATAAAAAGTGCAGGGCCATGAGAAATTAAAAGGTTCAAAAGTGGGCCACAGCTGAATAAAGGTTGGGAATGCCTGATCTAGACCACGACACCTTGGTCCGTGAATGGTCTGCAAAATGCCCAGTCCTGAGTTGTGGTCCACACCACCTTGAATGTAGCTACTTTAGCGCCCCTGCTGAGAACATACCACAAAGTGACTTACTCTCATACAGTTTACAAAGGATGCAGAACATGCGGCGTCGGATCTGGCTCACATATGGGTGCAACTAAGGTAGCAAGCGCATAGAACTGGTCACATAGATACGCGCATCGTCATTTTTAACGTGTTGTATCAATACATCGGCGTCGGCCACCCAGAATTCGCCGTCGATCGGTTGATTCATTTAGGGAGGTGGATCAGGCTACTCTGAGTTAGTTCACCAGCAAATCGAAAATGATAATGCAAGTAACAGCAAGAGAAATAAGACAAAGGGTTCAATCTGATAAGTTAAAGGTGTAGAAGAGGCAGGCTCAAATGTGCGCTTGACCCTTTCGTTAGTGAGACGACCTGGAGGAGCTGGTCGGGTAGGTGGTGCATTCACTGTGGAAGGCAAGATAATTAACATCACGCTCGAAAACCACGCAATGTTAACTTCCATGAGATAGACGCAAAAATATTCAAAGGAATCCAATTCAGTGCAGTATTAGATGTGAAAACACACACTCAACGCAAACGAATGGATAGTGGAAACTACAGACCAGGGTAGTTCATCCGGTGCCTGCGACAATACGGCATCTTATTGAAGTGCGACATGATTCCGGGAAAGTATTACACCAACACTTATGTATTCGATGGGCTCAGTTCAATGGGTACTGAAAGACGAAGGACGACTCGAGAAATGAACGGGCAGAATGGTGCACCGTCTGGAGAAAACACAAGACGACCTCATTGGCACCATGGTACATTGATGAAAGTGTCGGTAATCTGTGAGACACTTACTTTGGGCAAAGACATGAGAGTAACGTGCACCTGGCCAATGTGAATACCGGGACTATGTGCATCCTTCCTCCCCGTCACCAACTGAGGCGAACTGAAGTCACCGGGAGGAAGCTTGCTGATTGGCAGCGGCCAGAGTGCAGACAAGATGAAGGGATGGGTGGAAAATTCGACCGCATTGGCAGCATCATCGGAAATGTGGTCAGACGAGACCGATGTGGGTGCATGTTGTCTGAGAGACAGGAGCGAAGTCATCGAGAAGCCGGCGCATGAGAGCAAATGCATCACAGCCTCAGCGGCTGTGCAGTCGGTGCAGACGCAAGCGACCGCAATAAACAGCTGATTTACCCTCCAAGCATCAGTCTGGTGGAGTGAGGTTTGGTTTGAAAGGTCGCAGCAGTTTGGTGAACCAATGACGCCTGTGGATGAATAGCACTTAGCCGGTTTGTCGATAGTGTTCAAGCTTGGGTCTAAGCAATGAGGACTGATCGGGAGAGAAGTGTAGGCCAAGCGCTTGAACAAATTGTCCATGCAACCACCCCAAGAGAGTGAAGGACAATAGTGGGAAGAACAATCATGCGCTAACAACTGACAAACGGAGGAGTTCTGCGGTGCAACAAATCTGGCCTCGGAAGTGAAGGGAAGAGAAGAGCGAACCTCTTGGCCAGGTGGTGTGGTAACAGGAGAAATCGCTGGAACACCTGAGAGCAATGAGAGTGGAAGAGGCAATAGATACATTGCAATGATCAAGTAAGGGTAAGCAAGGATTTTGCTTGACCAACGGTACCGATAAAAATGAGACAAAATGATTCAGGTTTGAAAAATAGGGCGGTGTATGTTAGTATGGTTAAACAGAAAATAGCCAAAACGGTTGTTCTGCAGTGATTCTCATCCGTTGCGTGAGAATTCTCGTTGGAAATGAAAGCATCACACTAGACAAAACTCTGCGACAATTAACCCGCAAGGAATCCAATTTCGAGGTAAACCAGTTGCTTCGTTTAAGGTGAATAGCAAAAGTACACAGAAAGATGAATTCAGGTACACCGGTGGGGCTTAAGAAGTTTAAAGAAGAACAAAGTTCAGTAGGTCAACCATGATCTATTCATCGAATAGAGGCGGAAACGGTTGCGTTGATTCAAGTCGCCAAAGTAATAGCCATAATAATAACAGATAGAGAAAAATAAGATGAAATGGAGAAATTGTTAACCCGTGGCGGAGCTGTACGCTAACGGGCGCGTCCCCAGGTTGCGGATTGGAGAATGCCTTCCTTGTGGAGATAACTGCGAATAAGTATCGTCTGCTTTGCAGGCGAGATGAATAAGCAGTCGCGTACAATCAGCTGCAACGTATCAGAGCGTGGAGAGTTCTGGGCTGGTCACCTGGTTCTCCATCAAATACCACATGAGCTCGTACGGCGCTGTGTCAAAGCCAATGTGACCACAATTCTGTAACTGGAAGTGAGTATTTAACGGAGGGCGGATGAACAACCTTGCTGGCTACCGGCTTCTCTGTGACTGCGAATGAGTCATATGGTTGTCAAGGGTCTTCGTTCATAGCCCCACTGCTTTCCGGGTCAGAACTTTAAGACCAAAGGCTCGGGGTGGGGTCCCTTAAGTCAACCCCCTTCTTCGGCCTAGTCAACCGGGAAGCTCAATGCCCACGCAACACATGGGTTATCGCATTCCTTCTCGTGACTGTTCCTCCTTGTTTGTTACTCATGCGTTGTGGCAAGCTGTCAAATGTTTACTGGTCAAACGAGGCAGTTAAAAATATAAATAGAGGACGGAAATCCACTCGCGCATATGGTGTCTAATCACAGGGGCGACCGAATTCGATATTCCAATACTGATGCTAATTAGTCCTTCGAAAAGTTTCGTCATGCTTTTCCCAAGTCGTTGAATAGCCACGTAGGAGGTTCACCCAATTAGGTGCAGCAGTGCTGGTAAATAATACACGCCGATGTGGTCAGACAGTAGACATATGAAAGGGATATCACTTACTCAGCGTAGGAATACTGAGCCCAATGCATATCATATCAATGCCATTCAGGAAACGGAGAAAAAAATTGCCAAAGATGCTTCATTAATAGGTTTGGACATTCTAAAGTCTAATATAAGATCCTCCTTCTGAAGTGTCACATGCTACTGATCAAACAGTGTGATCGCAAACCACAGTTATTACTCACCTTGGTCCATAGTGTACTGTTCCACCCGCCGGCCAAGATCAAAATGATGGAAGAGATGAACAAGTCTTTTGGTGATAGATTAAGCACCGTAGTACTAAGGAGTCTATGCCATATATACGAGATATGCGCCCGGAGCTCACACAAACATGAAATGCAAGGTCGCGTTATCTCATTTTAGGTCGATGGGAGAGGATAAATAAGTAGTAAAGTGACATGGTCATGTTTGCATATTGGTTCGAAATAATATACCAAATCCGAAAAGCGGAAAACTTAGCTGGCCTATATTTTGAAACGGAAAGTTATAAAAAGGAGCACCGGATAAAGAAACTCCGTATGGTGAATCCCGTTATGCTGATAACATTTGAATCGGTATTTCTTGAGAATGGTGCGATGAAATAATGAGAATTGCATACGGAGAACACTCATCGAGATAAGCAGGAGAATGGATGAATGTTTCAGCCGCGTCATCAAATACTTCTCAGTAGCACAAGACAAGGAGGTTGGCCACAGCAGCACAAGCCTCAAGATTAGCCTAGAAACAAGTGAGTCCTCGGCTTAGGTAAAAACAACAACAGTACATCAGCCATTTGAACTGATGCTTCGCTGCCATACAACCATGAGGACCTATGAAATAAAGAATAATAAGAGAAAAGGGGCTTACCTGAAAATCTTAATGCCCTAAGCAAACATTCAGGGTCAAGGCAACTACACCTTGGGTAGACAACATGCCGTCACAAACAACTGGCTATCGTACAAAGATAAGGCGGCATCGGCGAGACAGCTTCTTTGCGCCTTTCACTGCTCCGCGTCATAATCAGCCATTACCCCGCAGATAACTCAGCACCAAACACACTTTAAACAGCCAATCCGATTAGAAGACGGCAGCAGACGCGTCACTGGTGTCGACTGTGAGACGTGTCCCGTAAAGTCTCGAGTCAAGCACAAGGCGAGTCACGTAGACTCCAGCCCGGAGGAGAAGATGGAACAACGGCACTCAGTTTGGTCGTCAATGACTTCATTTTACGCTGCCAAGTCAACTTTTGTCCACCCCGAGCCTTGCACCACCCTACACATGGCAGACGAAACAAGGCCCTCCTAAGTAAGCGGTGACCAGGTACACGTAGCACGTGCCCGAGCCAACGCAACTTATTCAGTGCTATCTGTTGTTCTAGGGTACTAGCATGACTATCACTACCTAGTACTCACATACGCACATTATCTTTGCGGACACGCTGGTGTCACCCGACAGCAGCAATGCTTCGCAGACAACGATGATCAAAGATTTGAAGGCGCCTCAGATCTTCAGATGGAAGGGGGTAAGTCTCACTATCATACAGTAGAACGGCCCCCACTGTGGCCTTGTATACACGGCCTTTCAGACGGAGGGAAACTCCCTTCTGTCGCCAAAGATGCCGCAGGTTCAAGAAGGCAGCTCTGGCCTTTGCATTACGTGAGCTGACGCCAGTTTCTATGCGGTCATCGTTGCTGATGAAGCTGCCAAGATAAGTGAATTGATCAACCACCTCGAGTTCCTCGTTATCAAGAGTCAACGCATCATCAAGTGGCTGGTGGTCCTGTAGCAACACTGCACTTTGAAGGTGCGAAGAGCATACCAAATAATGGGACCACATTAGACAGGCTATTCAAGGTTGATTGTGCCGCCGCAACATCGTCGAAAAGCAAGACGAAATCATTCGCATAATCAGGATTAACTAACCTTTTACCACGAAGGACAGCAAGGGAACACTTCGTGATAGAGTCCACGATGAAACTGAACAAAACGGAGAAACGGGACAACCCTGACGAACGAAAACTTGTGGTCGGAAAGCTATCCGACAGGTCACCGTAGACCCTGATGCGGCCTGTAGTGTTCAATTACAGAGCACATAGAATGTTCCCATATTTCGTAAAAAAACCTTTCCGAGCAAGTAAATTAAAAAGAATGGATAGATTGACTGAACCGAAAGCACTCTTGAAATCGAGGAACACAGCTATTGTCGGTCGGCGGTATGTGTGGCGCTGCTCTAGCACCTTCCGCAAAGTGAATATATGGTCTATACAGCCACGTCCCGGGCGGGAACCTGCCTACTCTTCCCTAATCCGAGATTCCTGTTCCACCGTGAGGCGGCGAACGAGAATCGAGGCCAGTAATTTGGCTACAAATGGGGACTAACTTTCGTGTATATTGCCACCAAAATCGATTCGCCCGTTAGCCAGGACACCTTCTTCCTTCCAGACACGTTCGAGTAGGGAGGTCAGTACTTTGGAGAGGAACTCACCTCCATCATTAAATAGTACAGGTGGGAGGGAATACGGGCCAGCGGCACGAAAACGATTGAGGGCTGTGGTCGCATTTCGGACCTCGGCTTCCGATGGAGGCTCTAAACTAACCGTCCATGGCTTGTCCTGCATCACCTGGGTAGGAAGAGGTCCGGGAGCAGATGGCCAGCTGAACTGATCTTCAAAGTGTCCCGCGCAACAAGCCATACGGCGCTCCTTATTGTGCATAACTGCACCCGCGCAATCTCTGATTTTCAAGCTGACACTTGGTGTCCTGGGACCAGTGCTGCAGATTAGCTGGAAGAGCTTGCGGTAATTGCCTACTGCTTCTGCCTCCTCAATTTATTGAGCCATACTGGTCCACCAGGCTTCCAAGTCAGCACGTAGACTTTGCTTTAGTTCACACCTAATAGCCCGTCTGGTCACATTGTGTTCAGAGCCAGCCGAGAGGTGTCTTCTAGATTCCAACAGGTTCACCGACCTCTCGAATATCCAGTAACTGGTGCGGTGACCATTGATAGTGCCACAAGCAGATGCTCCTGCGTCGTGCATGGCGGCCGAGATCCTATTCCACTGGAGCTCAGTGTCATTAAGACAAGACAGCGAAAGTTCGGTACGCAGTGCCTCTCGATAGGCTTGTTTGATCGAGGGCTGAGACAATTTCTCAGTTGCCAATCGGATGAGACGCTTGGTGCGCCTCCCAGTAAAGCTCATGGAGAAACGACAGCGTACCAAGGCATGATCAGAGTCGACGCAGGTAGTCCAGTAGGAGCGGCAATCCAGTATGGAACCATGCCATCTGTAAATTCTGGCAATGTGGTCAATTTGGATCCATCGCTGGCCAGCTACAGGTGGACGCCAAGTGGCACTTGGGCGCCCACTATGTCTAAAAGTAGTGCTACTAAGAAACAACAGGTGCTCCGCACACAGTTGCAGCAGACGCCCACCGTTGTCAGCTGAGCTTCTGAAGAGCTCAGACGCCCTACTTGTGCATTCATATCCCCTACAAGTACTGTAATATCTGAACTAGCAGCACTGCGTAGTAGCGAGTTCAGATCGTGATAGAATGTGTCCTTGGCAGCATTAGAACTGCAGTTGGTGGGAGCATACGCGGAAATCACAAACATACAGCGTTTTGTATTACTTCGTGAATCAACCTTAGCTGATGTCGTCAAACGGGCTGCACATAAACGGCTGTTCACCGGAATCCAATCAACCAACGATGGCTCACAGCCTTGGAGCTGAGAATGATACATACACCAGCTTGACCTGTGAGTGCTGCATCGGCGTCTCCGGATGCGTGCAACCAATAACGAGAAGATAAGCCGGGTGCAGTTAATTCAATAACCCCATTAGGGTCATTGATCCTAGTTTCGGACGCGCAACACACATCAATACCCAGTGTGTCCAAGGTGCGTGAAAGTGAGGCCTGTTGATCTGTTAGTCTTAGAGTGCGAACGTTGAATGTCGCCATGGAAACGGGATAGCGTGGCCTTATAAGGGAGTTTTGTCGATAGGCGTCCGATAGGTGCGGTGGGATGGTGGCTGCAGATGGTTCTACTCCAGTGGCACTTCGGTTGCTGTCAATTAAGCTGGGAATTATAGAAGGAAGGTTAGTATTGGGGGTCGGGATGGGAGTAAGAGAAAAAGGTGGAAAAGAAAGAAGGGAGGCACCAGCAATAGCATGCTTCCGTTTATCCGCCCTGCTGTATGCAGCAAATAAGGCGACCCTTGATAATCTGCGCGACGGCCGATACACGACGAAATTTGTTTTTGAAAATCAAGTCATGGTTGTATGTGGGCTGAGATACTGCCAGGGCGTCCACACCTAGACAGGAGGACAATTAGGGTTCTCATCCAAAGCCTTTGGTCCAAAAGCCTGTCCGCAAGGTAGCGGGGAGGTGGCAATGATTTAGTTGTACAGAACTGGACGCCATCCCAATTCAAAGCCCTAACCTGGAGGACCAGAAGTCTGAGTTTGTCTGACCTCCAATCATTGACTCAGCTGGTAGCTCTCAAGAGGCGTCAAGAGGCACCACCCAGTATAGCTCAATGGGTCAAGGAGGTGGGTAAACCGTCGCACCAGTCTCTCAGTAAAACAAACAGGGTGTGTATAATTATTGGTCATGACCCCCGCCAGATTGTGCAGAATGAGGCATGGCCACGGTCGGAGTGCGGTCGATTGAATTCCGAACAGAATGGATGAAGGAAAGGCGTAGTGTCCACTGCTCAGAAAGTAATCATTATGGGAAATAGGTAGGGAACAATTACGATGGCCTAGTCAATGTGCCAGATAGTGGTAGCCAGTCCCACGAGTCAAGGGTAACTAGTCGAGGTAACAAACACCATTCTAGCTGTGACCAAACGTTACGAAGACGTTAGCGATTATACACTCCATAGAATACGATGCAAACAAGGAGTCAGTGATGTTCGTACACTCAAGCTTTTAGTCCCGGTAAATGACTAGCCAAATTATGGATTAAACTCCTTTCTGATTCTCTAAAGTATTATCGTAAGTCAAACCAATGCGACCCTCACTGCACGCATAATAATGTATTACCCGAACTAACTTGTTACAGCATAGAGTATAAAGGACAGTAGCATATAAACGTACTTCTACAGTTAGTCACATTGCCGCGAGGGATGTGAGCGTCCGGGTTGTTAAGGAGGACACACGGAAGCAGCATTTTGAAATGCGACGCGAGGAGAGTTTGTCGTTCCGAAGGAAGATACGCCATCATCTGATGGCGCCAGTCATCACACAACTGGTCATCAATCCAACTCAAGTGTGCTTCTTTGACTCCTCGAGGAGGGACTGTAAACAATAACGCATGATTACCCATTGTGTTGGAACTGCCATGTGCTGTGGAAATGCCGCTGGTTGATGTAATTGACGGCACTGTGGAGGAATCGCATACGTCCAGGGAGTCGTCAAAGAAAGGATCCCAATTCGGTTGACAAAAAGACAGCCGACAAGATCCTCGGAAGTTACTGTCTCTATTGGATGGATACACTAGTGTGTGAATGTAACTAGTTAGTGAATGGACAAATAAATCAGTACGTTCCAGCAGCAGGTCCAGAAAATCGTCCCGAGCACGAACACGCAGCCCACACTGGAAATGTTTGTAAACCTGAATAGAAAGCATTCGAAAAGTGTGGATGTAAGGGAAACAGTGATGAACATGCAAAACTTAAGGGGCACTTTTGAGTCATCAGAAAACAAACGCGAACAGGTACAGCCTACAATCAGAGAATCCGTCCAAGAACTGCGTCAACGAAAAAATGCACAAAAATCGCTAAAGTGTGAACAATGCAAACGAGATGTACCTTGGATTTTTTGCTTTTAAGCTTCTTCGTATGCTCTTCCTAGGATTAAACTCCATCGATGACCTATGAAAAATATGGTCACATCGGTACGTTGGGGAAGGGAACCTCAGCTTTGATTTCTCTCCTATACCCCTTCTTGCTCCGTTCATACTCAGAGGGATGACCCAGAGATGGTCAAAGAAAAATAAGCAGATCGGTAGTTTGCATAAACGAGATTTATCTTGCGCCCTATCCCTTCATACTACTTTTTTCTACGCACTTATTCAGACAAAAAACTAACCGATGACTGGAAAGTTTGAGCCCACTGGCGGGTTGAATTAACCAGTATTAGCGTTTCAGCCATGATCGACAGTCTTAAACCATCGGTGTGGACCATCGCAAGGACCCCACAGTCACAAAGGCGACATCCACCACTATTGCTAAGTCCTCCAGTCAATTCGTTCATGCACTTTTGCCAAGTCATCGACTAGATACTTCGCGACTTCAACCAATTTGGTGCAGCGACGATGTACAATGCACGCCGAAAGAGGTCAATGAATATACAGAGGACATGACTAAGCGGACGTCAGGAAAGTGAATGAGACCCCAGAAGGCTTCTTTCCAGAAAGTAACTGGCAGGCATCAGCATTGCTTACCAAATATTCTAACCAGATATGAGCAATAATCCTTAAGGACCAGTAGCCAAAGACGGTCAATCGTTTAATGTCTTTACTGCGAAATGGTTATGCCTCTGATACATAAAGCAACAGAGGGCTAATCGTGGTATCTTTCACTGAGCCTGGTATCCCGCCGTCTCCATAGATGGATAAGCCTGTGAAAAGCCACAGAGGTCTTACTGATACGCGAAGTAGCTTCCTTAGTGACGTGGCCATCAGAGGTGACACAGCTACCAAGGTAACTGAACCGATCCACCGAGTCCAGTGGCTGCTCACTGATAGCTGAACCCGTGAAGTATCGATCCAGTCCTCGCACAATACTTTGCACTCCGATGGTGTAAAGCATTTACCCAATCGTGCGACGTTATGCGTCACTCTATTCAGTAATGCTTACATCGTCACTGCGCCAGATGCAAGGTGCCATGTCGTCCGAATACTCAAGTTTTGTCATCCAGTCATCTGGCAAAACCGGAGTCATTTGTGATCACTTTCATCATGAAGAGGAAAGGAGAAATAAGACAACTGGTAAGTCCCACTTGACGTGGGGACCTCAGGAGACACCTTCCATACACTGTTACCCTGGATCGGGAGTCACAGTAGAGAAAATTTGGAATGAAAAGGAGTATCCCTGGCATGCCACTTACAGAGAGGCAGTGGCAGAAGCTAGTTCGATCAACTTAGTCGAAGGAGGCCTTTAGGTCAAGGAAAGCCACCATAGTCGGTCGTTTGTGTGCCTCTGCTGATCATGCCATATTATAGCGTGTCCCAATCGTTCGAGAATAAGTATATATATATATATATATATATATATATATATATATATATATATATATATATATACATAGCATTGGACCAAGAGTAAATATGTGGTTGATGTAACTAAGACAAGTGCTGAAGCCACATTGGCCTTCAGTAATTCGGTCCTCACGAGGGTCAGTAAGTCGTCAGGGAATGTCACCTGTGAAAAGGTTTGGTGGCAATGGAAAGAACGCTAATGCCTGAATGATTTTCGTACGAAGTCCGCAGACCATACTGTATGTGCAGCTGACGTTACTCCACTAGTAACTATTTTCTTTCTACTCGAAAACACTCAAGCATTCGGAGTGGTCATCTGATAAAAGGCCTTGCCAGAATGAAATTACCGATCAAAGTTTAGTCATTTAAAGCAATGGTCGTAAGGTAGAGATAACAGATTCTAAAACCCGGGGAGATCGGGTGGTTAGTCGGAACATCAACCCCCTTAACCACCGCGTCACGACAGGCAGCGCTTTAGTACAACGGCTACTGACTGATTAAACCGTAGAGCGAAAGCACGGAGTGCTTTTGCTAACCTTCGCCACCTATGGCGGCGGCGCGACATTACTCTCGCCCTGAAGGGTAGAGTGTACAATGCAGCGGTACGTTCGACCTTACTGTACGGTTACGAAACCTGGCCCCTAAGGTCGGCGGACATGAAGAGGCTAGTTACGTTCGACCATCGGTACCTTTGCAGTTGGGCTCACATCTGGTGATAACACCGCTTGAGTAACGAGCGTGTTCGACGCATTGTTTACGGCCCAGGAAAAGGAAATGAACGGCTCAGCACCGTTATTTCCCGCACCAGGCTCCGATGGCTCGGCCACGTGTTACGCATGCCAGCCCACCGACTCCCGCGAGGTGCGTAGTTTGCTCACCGGGGATGTGGGTGGAAGAAGAGGAGAGGTGGCCAAGCGATGACTTGGTCCAGAGGAATGAAGTCCATCACTTCGGAGCTAGCCTCGGTTGGAGCTTCACGGCTCCCTGGTTGGGGCCCAAAAGACGGTGAACACGTTTGGCTGGATACACTTGCTGACATGGCAAGGAGCCGACCTCAGTGGCGTTCTTGCTGTAAGTTTCTTTGTCCCTCCCCATCCCTTTTAGTCTCCCCTCCACCTACGATCTCATTTCATAGAGTAAAGCATAATAAACAAATTTTTTTCTTTTTGCCTAGTAGCTGGCTGTAAGCTTACCGGAACGATGCCTATCCGTTGCTGGTAGCTCAGCTGGCATGCAACTGTTGTATCTATTTTTCCTTTGTGTATTGTACTGTATGTATGTATGTATTTCTTTCATGTATTGCGGCACAATAGCGGAGGTGTTTTCCCACCTCTAGCTGATGTGTATAATGATGAATGATGATGATGACTAACTGATTAAACGGTCATTTCAAAGCAAATGCTGTGTGAATGGATTGTGACGAGCGATCTCGATGGGGATCGCAATTCGTACTGTCTCAACGTGCGCACTTTGTTACAGACAGCGCTTGCCAAAACACTGGAGACTCCGTCGATTGACATCTGCTGCATATCTGAAATCCGCCTGTAAGACTCCATTTCTGTGCTCACCCCATGATCCTGTTCAGGTGGTACTGGTGGTACTTGCTCACTGCACCTATCCAGAGACAATGCAGCTTCGACTGCCCGTCCGGGCAGTGTGCGCATTGCGATGTCACACTGGGTAGCTCGTTCAAAGCTTCCTAGTCGCGTGCGGACAAACGGTGCCCATTTGCCATTGTTGCAAACGCTACTGGAAACGATAGTGCTGACTCTGTGAAAGGTGGCTTCTATCAGCAACTGAACGAGTTCCTTCGTTACAAGAAAAGTACAGATACTGTAGTGCTTGCTGGGAATCAGAACGCCCAAGTTGGAAAAGTATTTACTGATGAGTTGCATCTGGGCGGATAACACGGTGTAGGCTCCCACAATAATAATGGTGAGTGACTGCTACCCTTGTGTGAAGATGCTCGTCCATTTCTCGCGAACACTCACTTCCGACACAGCACCCGCATTACAGTGACATGGCGCCCCCAGCTTGGGACCAATCATGGATGCAAATTGATCGCATCGAGATAGGTTACTGCTGGAGACGCTGTGTAAAAAAATGTCGCTCAATTTGGATCACAAGCGTGGACTCCGATAAGGCTCTTGTAGGTTGCGGTTTACGGATGCATTCCATCGGACATCCGAAACGACGGTGGGATCGCATAGACACCAGCCAACTGTTGAAGCCAGGTGTTCTGAAGGTGTATCAAAGCACTCTGGCATCCGTACTAAGTTAACGCCCACTGAATATAGTTGAAGATCACTGGTCGCACATTCGACAGAAGTTAGAAACAGCAGAAATGCCTTCATGTGGCAAATCGAATTGCCAAAATGGACATAGGGCTTTTACAGTATCTAGACCTTCTTGATACTTACTGACATGTTCTAGCTAGAAGCGAACACAATGAGACTTGCAAAGCATTCGGGGTAAAACTTCTTGCTGACCTGAAAAGAGATCGCGAAGACCAGTTCTATTGCGCATCAGAGATGGAAACAGCCGCCAATGGTAACCATGGTAGGTTATTCCGCCTGACAGGAAACAGAAACGTGTATTGAAAATGATAATGGTGATGAGTGAAACTATGGGTGCAGGAGACCTACTAAGCAGACTGAAGCCGCTTCGTTATTGTCCCAATTTTCAAAGGAGACTCATTTTCGGAATGCGGCAGTTATAGAGGAATCAGTCTGATCCCAGTTGCCTCTATAACTTGCCTCAGTCGTTCTCCATACACTGGATGACATCCATGAGTGCCAGATTGGTGAGCAGCAAGTCGGGATTCGTGAAAGCCGAGGATGTATTGAGCACATCTTCATTTGTTGGAACACTGCCATATTAATTGGCGGCCCGCCATAGTCGTGTTCCTCGACATCAAAGGTGCTTTCGAATCGGTTGATCTATGTGCTATTCAGAACTGTCTGCTCAAGACCGGTGTGCCCGAGAAATATCTAGATATCAAAAAGGCGCCGTGTGCGTGTAGTTCGAGTAGAGTGAGGACTTATGGCAAACTCTCACCGCCGTTCTATATCTTCAGCGCTGTTACCGTTCCTTGTAACCGTCGACGAAGTTATGGAAACTGGGTACACTGGGTAAGACCAATAAGGAATGGTGTTGGTCCCAGACGATCGATACCTTGACGACGACCTGCCAATCAGCACTGGAGAGATTACAACTGGCTATCAATCGTTCCAGGCTACACTTAGCACAAAGGCCATTTAAAAGATTGGCAAAAGGGATGAGGAAACTTCAGAGACAAACGGCTCCTCGTCATATTAACTAGCGCAAATAGCCAAACGTGTTGATAGTCTATC